CCTGTTGGATGAAGGAATGGCAAATATTGGGGAGTTTATGTGTAAGAGTGGTCAGGGTTGTAAGAAGTTGCTGAGAAAAGGTGTGGGAGGGATTGTTGTGGCATTTTTTAAGGCTTGTTTGGAAGGTAAGAAAACGGATTTTCTCGCTATCGTACAAAATCCTGATATTGCTCCTATAAAACTTGATCCTGTTACATGCATTCCTGAAAATTTTTCAGTTAATATTATTGATGTTGCGATGTAATTATTGTGTTTGGATAATAATGAATTATATCCAATTGAGTAATTTTCATGTTAATAAATTTATTGTGAAATGGCATGTTGGTTTTGTGAATCTGTAGTGTAATTTTAATCTGTGGTACCTAGCTATATAATCCGTACATGTATCAATACATCGGATTTTAATTTGAACTTGAATTTGATTGGAAGGATGTGGATTGATGTTGTCGATCGACAATTTGAATCCTATTTCATTTGTTATATAATGTTTATCAATACAAATTTACATATATTTTTGATAATTTAAAGTGATTGTGATCTTATTAATATACTAGTTATTGCTTGTGTCTAAAGGCACAGAGTAATAAAAAATTATAAACAATAAACATATTTGTATTCATATTGCTCCTATAAAACTTGATCCTGTTACATGCATTCCTGAAAATTTTTCAGTTAATATTATTGATGTTGCGATGTAATTATTGTGTTTGGATAATAATGAATTATATCCAATTGAGTAATTTTCATGTTAATAAATTTATTGTGAAATGGCATGTTGGTTTTGTGAATCTGTAGTGTAATTTTAATCTGTGGTACCTAGCTATATAATCCGTACATGTAGCAATACATCGGATTTTAATTTGAACTTGAATTTGATTGGAAGGATGTGGATTGATGTTGTCGATCGACAATTTGAATCCTATTTCATTTGTTATATAATGTTTATCAATACAAATTTACATATATTTTTGATAATTTAAAGTGATTGTGATCTTATTAATATACTAGTTATTGCTTGTGTCTAAAGGCACAGAGTAATAAAAAATTATAAACAATAAACATATTTGTATTCATATTGCTCCTATAAAACTTGATCCTGTTACATGCATTCCTGAAAATTTTTCAGTTAATATTATTGATGTTGCGATGTAATTATTGTGTTTGGATAATAATGAATTATATCCAATTGAGTAATTTTCATGTTAATAAATTTATTGTGAAATGGCATGTTGGTTTTGTGAATCTGTAGTGTAATTTTAATCTGTGGTACCTAGCTATATAATCCGTACATGTATCAATACATCGGATTTTAATTTGAACTTGAATTTGATTGGAAGGATGTGGATTGATGTTGTCGATCGACAATTTGAATCCTATTTCATTTGTTATATAATGTTTATCAATACAAATTTACATATATTTTTGATAATTTAAAGTGATTGTGATCTTATTAATATACTAGTTATTGCTTGTGTCTAAAGGCACAGAGTAATAAAAAATTATAAACAATAAACATATTTGTATTCATATCTAAAATCAAATCACAAATATAGAGAAAAGATAAAAGATTTTAAGCACCGATTCTTAGTGGGGGTGAGAGGTGGTGGGCAGCAGTGGTGTTGGTAGTAGATGGTGATGGTTGTGGTAGGTGGCAATTACTGTGGTGGCGGTGGTGGCAGCAAAGGTGGCGACGATGGTGGTGGCGACGGCGGCAACGATAGCTGTGGTGGTGTTGTTGGCGACAATGACAGCGGTGGAGGTGGTGGTGACAACAGTGACGATGGCGGTGATAATGGTTGAGGTGGTGATGGTGGTGGCTCGCGGCAGTGTTGGTGGTGGTGACGACGATGATGGTGGTGGTGGCGACGATGGTGGTGGTACAGGTGTTAGGGATGGCGGCAATGGTGGCAACGGCAACAGTGGTGGTGGTAGTGACGGGGGGATGGTGGTGTTGGCGGCAACGACGGTGGTGGTTGTGGTGGTGGCGGCGAGGGGGATGGTAGTGGTGGTGGTGGCAGCGGCAGTAGAGGCGGTGTGAGTGGTGGTGACTGCGACGTCGATAGTGATGGTGGCAACAGCGACAGTGGTGGTGGTGGCGATGGTGGTAGCAGCGGCGGTGAGGGGTGGGGGTGGTGACAACGGCGACGGTGGTGCTGACAGCGGTGGTGGTAACGGTAGTGGTGGTTATGGTGGTGGCAGTGGAGGTGGGAGTGGTGGTGGTGGGGGTGTGGTAAAGGTAGTGGTGGAGCAATTTCAAACATTATTTTTTTTAAAAGTATTGATAAGAAATAATTTTTAAAAATACATTTAAAAATTCACTCAAAACACACCCTAAAGGGCATATTTTTCTTATTAATTTAGGGTGTTAATATTAGCCGTTAAATTAATTTTAAAGTAAAATTTAAAATAATTTCAACTGCGAATAGCAAAAATCATTTTGTTTATCTTTTAAGATTTGAATTATAAACTATTTTATTATATAGATTTCTGCATAACATAGAATTAAGTTGAGTGATTATCCTGATTGAATTTCGTTAAATTCATGTATAATCCACTAAATTTAGTTTACTTAAGTAATTAGGGTCAAATAAGTTTGCAATTGGATCGTATATTAAATTTTGAATATAGAATACAAAAATAAAATTATTAAATCACTAGACCGAGTTTGGATTGGTTGACTATTAATAACACCCCAAACTTATGTCCCCATCAAGGGATCGATCGATCATTGTAGCTAAGAGGTCCTTTGGATTGGCAGCCGAGGAGAAGAATGTTGTGGTCACAACTTTCCCAAGTGTCACAAGCAACTTCTGGATTACCGGTGATACTAGCGAATATGACATGAATTTTTAAAAGTGATTTAATTCCGACTTTTAATAATTTAGAAATTTCTGGTTGAATTCTCTTTTTTTATTTTTTAAATGCTAGTCAACTTTATCTCTTTAAGGACATGTTGTAATTCAGCTCAAACTATAATAACTAGTCACTAAATTCAAAAGAGTAGTCGATGTAAGTCTAAATATCATGTAAGAAAAAAAAAAGAATAAAACATGACAAATGATGATACTCAAAATATGTCTAAGTATGAGCTCAAGCGTTTAGCTCCGACCTTAAACTTGGATCATTCAACTTATCACAGATAACTGGGAGTTCAGGTCGACACCTCTTCCTCAGCAACTACACCCCTATAGAAATAGAAAGGATGATAGCTGACTTCGACCCAAGCATCACATATAAGTCGTAACGGTCTTATACTTGGGCAAGAAATCGTAATCGTCTCAACGCTATCCATGGCGATCACATTAAATGTGTAACCTTTACAAGAAGGCAAGAATTACGCTATGGATCAGGTAAGGCCTTAGAAGACTAAAAATAAGGTAAGGCCTTAGAAGACTAAAAATAAGAGGCATATCCCTTACAATGAAAAACAAGCAACTAACTTAAGCAAATACTCTGTGTAATCTTCCCCTTTTTATCAATAAAATCATCTTTCGGAATAAGAGACTCTCTCAAGAGTAAATTAGTTAAACTTTTGAACTGGTAAACTACTATAAACTCTCTGTATGCAATTCTCCATCTCCCTTGTTCAAGTCTTAAGAGCCTAGGAGCTCTAATTGGGTCATCCAGTAATACCCAAAGAATCTTAACTCTGTTCAATTGTGCAATACACACCATCAACAAATAAACGGCTACCGTTAAGATACTTGATAAAATTCAGATTAATTAAATAGATTAAAATAGAATTGACTATGATTAGACACAAATTTGAATTGACACCCCTAGGTTCTCAAGAAAGAACTGATTCTTTCCTTTCTTTGCAAAAAATGAAGAATTATCGATACTGATACGCCAAATAAAGCAAGTTATTCCTTCTTGAAATTAATCGGATTTGCTCGCATAGGAAGATGCGAATGAAAAGAAAAAAAAATTATTATTTGGACCTAATTTGAGAATTTAATTAACTAAAATTGCTAGATTAAAATTGAGTTTTATTTAATATTAAAATTCAAAATTAATTCAATGACTGAATTGAATTGTATCTCTTTTCAAGTCGTCAAATTGGGTTTCCATAGCATTGCTCAATAAAAAGATTTTTTTTTTTTGTTGTTTCAACGGTCTTGATTATCCGGATTAGTTTACGCGCAATTAGATTAATGTCCTCTCTGGGCTGATCAATAACATGTCATTCACGTCAAAATTAGGGTATTCATAAAGGATAAATTCTTAGTGACTTAACTTTAAAAAATTATCAAAATTTAAATTTAAGACGTCTAAACTTACAATTTATCTCTTTTACGACTTGGACGCTCTTAAATTAAAAGTTAAAGAAACATAAAGAAAGAGATCTGCCTCATAAATCATGCCACTCCAAAAGCATTCTAGTCTCTGTCATGCCATTGATGCCAACCGAAGTGAAAAAGAAAACAGACCTTAAATATTGTGCACTGTGTCTTTTTCTTGTTCTGATCTTGAAGGCTGAGACAAGAATCTTACTTTGCAAAACCAAAGGGTGGTTGTCATCTAATCAACCAATATATAATACATTCACTTTATTGTAGAGCTTTAAAAATGTGGTACCTTGCGACGATACTTTAAGAATCTCTATGTGACTAGTGAACCATGACTATAATGTGAGTAAACAATTTCTTTTTTTTGATAAAAGACACACAAAACTAAGTACACAAAGTTTAAATACTTACCTTACTTCAACAGTAGAACACATCAACACTTTGGTATAAAAAAGATACTTGATTATGCAATTTCTAAAAAAAATATAAAATAAAATCCACCCTTAGAACTTAGCTAACAGTGGTATGGAGTCCTTTGGTACCTGAGATTCCCAAAATGGATACTAATAGATCAGGTGAACATAGTAATATTCATATTGTTGCATTTCAATCTCTCTTGAGCTTTTGATGCCATCTGAAAGAGAACCCAATACTTATTTATCATAAACTTATATATAATTGAATTTTCAGATTATTAACAAGGTATATCTAATGCCAAAGTATAAACACAAAAGATGGAAGCTTGAGCAACAGATTGAGGTATAAGCTCCACAATTTTTAACATTTTGCGATTAATATACATGTGATTGCATTTCAATCTCTCTTGATCTTTCAATGCCACCCGAAAGAGAACCCAATGATGCTTTTCATAAACTTATATATAATTGAAACTTTAGACTATTTAATTAACAACCTGTATCTAATGCCAAAGTAAAAACACAAAAGATGGAAGCTTGAGCAACAGATTGAGGTATAAGCTCCACAATTTTTAACATTTCGCAATTTACTAATTGAGGGTCAATTGCATTGGAAATCCCTAAAAGTATATAATTTGTTTTATTTTAGTTTCAAATATTTCAATTACATCATTTTAGTCCATGAAGTATTGAATATGTTTCTATATGATCCTTCAAGCAAACAACATTTAAATTGCTAACAATTTTTTATCATATACTTATCACGTAATACCTAAATATATCAAAAAAATAATTTCGGTAACTCTCGACAAAAAATGTATAATATGAGTAACTCTTGACCAAAATTTGAATAGTTTATGACCATAATCGTGTACTTTTGGAGAAAATATTTATTACAATGTTGATACCACGTGGTAAGGTGATGTGGTATTACCAACCAAAAATAATAAACAAATAAGTGAATAAATCTCACAAAAATCAATAACTAACATGTCGTGGTATCACGGTTGCATTCAATATTTACTCGTATTTTTGGTAGAAATTTAGTCAAAAAGTTATTCAAATTATTTTTTTATTCATATTTAGTCATTGACCATATAAAAATATATTCAATACTTTAATAACTAAAATGATAAGAACGAAAATAACATAAAGTCCATCCGACTTGTAGTGAAATTAACACTTAAAACTTTCATCTTTGGAATCTATAAATTCCCTTGTTTACGAATGCAATGACACGCAGTTCTGAGCAAAGAGTAGATCTCGGCTCACACCTGAAACCAAATTCTCTACATCCATTCACTACCTTCATTCCTTCAGAGTAACCTAGAGGAGAAAGAGGCTGCCACTGCAGCAAAGCTGAGTCCACCACAAATGGAGAACATTGAGAAAAATTTGCTATGGAAAGCCATGGAAGGTGACTGGGAGGAGGTTTTGAAAATTTACAACGAAAAACCCGATGCTCACATGACCCAAATCAGAATGTCAGGGAACACAGCACTACATATAGCTGTCACAGATGGCAAAGAGAATATCGTTGAGCAGCTGGTGAGCTTGATTTGTGAAAGAGATCCGAGAGCTGAGGCGCTCAAAATAAAAAACCACGAGGGAAACACCTCGCTGCATCTCGCGGTGGCATTTGGGAGCTTGAGGATGTGCCGGTGCATAGCTAAAGCAGACCCAGGAATTATCGGAGTTCGCAACAACAACGGTGAGACTCCATTCTTCTGGGCCGGTCTTTACGGTAAGAAGGACGCTTTCCTTTGTCTCCATTTTGCCTGCGGCGGCAAAAAAATTGGCCAGTACTATTGTAGAAGGGCTGATGGCGACACCATTCTCCATCGTGCCATAGATGGAGAATTTATTGGTAAGCATTCTTTTTTTTTTTTTTTTAATTTTGGTTCCTTTCTGATTTAACGACAATTGTCCCAACCTAATGTACGATTAGGGATGTCAAATTTAGTTTAGACACCCTTGACCACTAAAAAAAAAAAATAGAAGTTTGCTTGTACAGTAATTTTTTTGTTCAATTCCTTGGAGTGAAGCTAAAAAATCTTGTTTTTAATGATCTTCTTGGCAGAGTTGGCATTTCAAATTCTTCAACTCTACGAAAATCTTCCTTACTCCTACAATGCAAAAGGAATGACCCCACTCCATCTTCTAGCCAGTAAGCCTTCTGCATTCAGTAGTGGAAACCGTCTCACGTTTTACGATAAAATCATTTATCATAGTGAGTCTCTCTTCCACATATTTTCCACACAATAATTTCCATTCATGAACCATGGGAAAAAAAAACAATATGAGTATATGCCCTTTTCTAATCTAATTATTTAACAAGCTGCATGGATATCTATCTTTAAGCACTTGTTGTTTGCAAGGTATATTTGTTAATGGGCTGAAGGAGATGCAAACCAATGGGCAGTGTCTCCAGGAGAATCCTGAAGATAAAAAGAATCCTAGTCACCCAGAGAACTACAAGACGTGTGTCCTCTTCTTTGGCCTGCTGAGAAAGATAATTCATGTAATAGGTGGGTGATCTGAATCTCTCTTCTTCTTTTTTCTTAGACTACGACTTGAGATTTTGGAAATTCGCTGAGAATTATTAACATGGCTACATTTTGTGTCAACTGCACCATTTTGTATAAAAGTAAGAAGCCGATGTCAAGTTGGCATAGTTATGTCAACGGGACACAATTATGTGCTATGACTTGTTGACATTTTGATGTTTTAGTTGTTGATCGGATATCCGTAAAGCAGGGGATTTACACGTAGTCCGTGAAGAATTAAAGAACAATGTTATTGGGACATAATTTATGAACATAATTTGAAGACATAATGAGTTGTCACCAATTACATAATAATAAATTCATTAATGTTACAATAAAACCCACCATTAAATACATTTTATTATCATTTCATTGGTGATAACTCATTATGTCATAATAGCATCGGTCAGAATTAAATCTCTATCACCGATGCATCAAAAAGATACTAAAATTTTCTACCTATTGTGATATCAGACACCTGTACGTAACATATGAATGCTGAAACTAAGCTACACAATTATTTTTCAGTAAATACAGGAAAAACTACGGAGGGAAGGAATGAGCTACCATCTGCTGGAAATCCAAAATACATGCAGTTTTCAATTCCATCTAATTATCAAACGTGTTATGATACCATCAAGCTTTTGTCCAAGGGATTGCTGATCATTCTCGGAGTAGGTATAAAAAATGTCATTTCCCATTTCGATCAGACTTTCATTGCTCTAATATATATAGTGCATTGACATGTTCAATGTATACATATGTATGCTCCTTTTTTGGGTGTATAAGGTTATGGAAGGGTAACAAAGATACAAGAGAAAAAAGAAAAGCATACATGGGCTGTCCAGGTCATGAATATTCTTCTTGAACACGCTTCGAAGTATGAGTATGATCATAATGGAGGAAACCCTCACATCATGTCTACATTAGACAGTAGAGATTTAGGAGAAACAGTTCCTTCTGCGATTGGTGAAGGTGACATTGTTGGGTTTGGCCAGGATATAAAAGGTATCAATTTTTACTTGTTTTCTCCCATGCATTTCATTTTTTTTTTTTTATGATTTGTTTTTTTAATGACGAAAAATTGTTTCAACAGCATATTATTCTTAGAGCTTGTTATTGCAATGTAAAATTTGCATGGCATACATGCAATCGACCCACAGAACACATGCATTGAATGAACAAGAGTTCCCTCACGCAATTCAAACTTAAAATCTAAAAATATTGACCTCCGTAGTTTGCAGATTTATGTAGTAAATGGCATCTTCTATTCTATGTGTAGTGGTTGAGGCCTACCCCAAGCGAGCAAATATTTCATATGACGGTAATACTATGTAATCATTGATATATACTATTTTTTGATACGTAGCATTATAATTCAATTGTAATCAAATAGTTAGGACCGGTGGATTCCATCAAATTCTATAACTATTAATACCTTCCCCATCTAGTAACCAAGTCCTAGTTATTTGATTATGATTGAATGGTGAAAGCATATATTAATAATGACACAGTATTACCGTTTTATTGAATAATTACTTGGCCCAAACCTTTTATATTTACACCCTATAGAATTTTTATTGGATAAGTGACAGTGGCAACAATGAAAATGATTGCTGCGGTGCGGCCACTGCAATGATGACGATGATACTGAGGTAACTCTAATGATAGCTCAACTTCTACTGACGAATTATAAATTAAGATATTTTAAATTTAAATTTTGATAATTTTTTGAAATTAGACTATTAGAAATTTATCTCTTATGAATACGTTAGTCCCGGCGTAAATGGTCTGTCTTTGACTGGACCAAGAAAAAAATTATTCGAGATACATATAAGTTGATCTAAATACCCCTAACTGTTAAATTAAAAAAAATGACAATGATACAAAGGCAATGGTAGGAGCCTTTCAAGGTAACGGTGACGGTGGTGCTAGTGGTGGTTGCAGGGTGATAGTGAGGTATGGAACTAGGATTCTATCTCAAGAGGAGTCAAACAATGACATAGATAAAAAATTTGATAACTAGATAAACAGTCATACAATATTTATAAAAATTAACTTCCATACAATACAATTGTAAAATTTAGTTTGGGTCATAAAATCTAAAGATCAGTTCTTACTTTCTTAAAAATTAATTTGTGACTGTGTCATGATTCTTTCATTTCTACATTATGATATTATGTAATTATTTGCAAAAATTTCACACTTTCTTTGTTCATCAAACTCCTCCAATCAAATATCTTTGGTTATAAAATCATCACTCATCCACAGGTTGCATCCCTCATTTGGCTATTAATTATCAATTCATTGTATTTTGAAATATACTAAATAAACTGTCTATACATCAATTTTTTTAGAACCTAATGAGAAACATAGAATTTTTTTAAAATTTATGGGGTGTTATAAGAATTTTTTTAAAATGATTAATTGCATCCAGCTCCCCTGGGGTATGGTCAATAACAATGAGACCCCAATGTTATCCTCAATGGAATCACTTAACATTTTCCTCTTAGCCCCCAAGGGTCGTTTGGTTAGGGAAAAAAAAACAATAGAAAGTAAAATGGATAGAAATTGAAGTGAAAAAAATATTATAAAAAATATATTTTCCTATTAGCTAAAAACAATTTAGTAGAGAAGTCAAACCCAGATATCATGGGAAATGGGAAATGGGAAATGGGAAAGAGTGTTGTTGTCAATTTACAACTTCGGTTATAATAAACAGATTAGTAATGCTGCATTGATCGAATTTTTGGACCAAATTTAGAGTCCAAATAACATGGCAGTTGGCATGAACTTCTTTATTTTGTGTCATGTTATTTAATCTCTAATAAAGACTCCAAATAATATGTTACCATGTTATTTAAATTTTAAATTTAATCAGCATAGCATTACTCTAAAGAGATGGTTATAGTGTTATTTTCATGTATAGTGTTATTTGCATATATGAGGGGTCTCGTTTTACACTTTTTAAAATGCGAGGGAGGGGGGTTAAGCTCCTCCTTAGCTCCGCCCATGGTGGCGACCACCTTGTTCAGGATACGTAGTTGTACAAGAGTTGAATCCATTAATGCCATATCTAATCTGCATTAAGATTGCATGAGTTGACAGGTGAAGGACATGTTTGTTGTTAACATTGTATAATGTTTGCACTACATCTGACTCGGGCCTAAAGTTTAAATCATGGGCCATTTGGCAGGGATGAAAAACCCTGAACTGGAGACACCAATACTAGTCGCTGCAAAATATGGTGTTGCTGAGATGGTGGAGAAAATCCTCGAAGTGTTTCCGATGGCCATCCACGACATGAACTCTAAGAAGAAGAACATAGTGCTCTTGGCAGTGGAGCATAGGCAACCCCATGTATTCCAGCTTTTACTCCAAAAGAATATCATGAAAGATATCATATTTCACCAAGTCGATAGTGATGGCAATAGTGCATTACATCTTGCTGCTGCGCTTGGAGCTTATCGCCCATGGCTTATCCCTGGTGCTGCCTTGCAATTGCAATGGGAGCTCAAGTGGTTTGAGGTATGAATGTTTGGATGATCTGTAGAAACTTATGCTCGTTAGCAGTAATTAGTCATAGTTTGGTTTCCATGCAGTTTGTTAAGAACTCCATGCCACCACACTTCTATGTGCACACCAACAATGAGGGGAAAACCCCCAAGGACATCTCCAGAGAAACCCACACGAAGCTTGTCGAGGACGGTGGAAACTGGCTGACCAACACCTCTGAGTCTTGCTCCGTCGTGGCGGCACTCATCGCAACAGTCGCCTTCGCCACATCAGCCACCGTCCCAGGCGGCGTCAAACAAGATAGTGGCGTACCAACTCTTGAAAACGAGCCAGCCTTCAATGTTTTCGCTGTCTCATCTCTCATTGCACTTTGCTTCTCCGTGACCGCCGTGGTCATGTTCTTAGCCATCCTCACATCAAGGTACCAAGAGAGAGACTTTGCCAAAGACTTACCCAGGAAACTTTTGATAGGTCTAACGTCTCTTTTCATATCCATAGCTGCCATTTTGGTCTCTTTTTGTGCTGGACACTTCTTTGTTATCAAAGATAAGTTGAAATACGCTGCATATCCGGTGTATGCAATCACCTGCTTGCCGATAACATTTTTCGCCATGGCTCAGTTTCCACTGTACATTGATCTTATATGGACTACTATTAAGAAGATTCCACAGCGTAGCTACGAGGCGCTTCCTCTGACTTAGTGTTCAACCACTCTTTTCTTTTGAGTTTGTGGTGTAAAGCTAGCTAAGTGAGGAATACTTTTTTTCCAGGACTTCTTCCTATAGTAGGAAGTGTGTACTTGCTGCTATTTGGGTGTGTTTTGTTTCTTTCTTTATGTGTCACTGTGAAGATTTGAGTTCCTCCCATTCCATGTCTGCAAGCTTCTTCAGTTTTGCTCTTTGCTGTATCATGGTGCCATAATCATATTGGATTTGGGAGAGTTAGACCAAACCCCCAAAGTTTTACTTAATCACTTAAATTTTTTGATATTTAAAATATTAAAAACACTTGGACCATTTCCCTTAATATCCATTAGTCTACCGTTAGTAAATTACACTTACACTTTCTGAAGTTTTTAGGCATGTAATATTTAAAATCCTCAAGTTTAAAATATTATACTTAGATCAAAAATACTTCAATTAAAAATAAAATATCAAATATTTTAAATTTTATAAATAAAATTTATATTCTATTATGTTGTTTACTGAAATAAAATCAAAAATAAAATTCAATTTTTTTAAAAAAAAAAATCATAATTAGTATAGAATTTCATTGAAATAAAACTAAAAAAAAACAAACAATGGGTTAAACCGTAATAAATACAATATCTTCTATTTTTAATTGACATAATTTGAACGTTTAATAGATTTCGTTGATTCTGTACCTAATAAGTGGTTTAAGTATAATATTTTAAACTTAAAGAGTCTAAGTATTATATTCCTACAAACTTTAAGGGATCTTGGTGTAATTTACTAACGAATTTACTAATGCACATTGACAACAGGAATCTAAGTATTACGCTCATACAAACATCAATGAGTTTGTGTATACTAGATGTAATTTTCTCTATTGATTGTCAACCTTTTTTTTTCTCGAGTAATATTATTGAAATTTAATTTAAAGATTCAATATACTAATTTAATGTTGAGGTCCACTTAAAATCCATAAACCACATTGCATTAGGAGCTCACGATAGGTCATAAAATTTGGTCTCAATGATCGTTAGAGTAATCATGACTTTAGTAGGAACAAAGTCGAAGCCAAAATTTTATTCTTGGAACACCAAATATGATACACGAAAACTCATACAAGAACATTTAACTAATATATATGTTTTGGACAAAATAATAAATTCAAAAATAAATAAACAAATTGATAAACATAAAATAAGATGAATAAAAATAATAATTTTTGGCTACATTCACGGAATTATCTACGAAAGTAGTACTCCACTTTTCATCATTCAACGTTTAGTTTAGCATGTATGTATGTGGTATGTACCTCCCAATAATATTACAGCTTTCAATGGTCCAAACCCCGGGACACCCCCATCATGCCGATAATCGTGCCAGTAAGTCCGCACAACAAAGACCAAGTTTATACAGTCTAAATTAGTTTACAGTTCTTTGGAAATTAGTACATTTAATTAATTAGATTTATTTGACAAAAAATACATAGATTAAAATATTTTGAAAAAAAATAGATAGCTAACTTACAAAGACATAAATGTTCATTTTAGGATCGTTTAATTCAAAATTTTTCATCTTTAATGCACCTTAACTCATGTGTGTTTGTTAATATATATAAATACATATTTAATGCACCTTGATTTATGTGTAGTTGTTAATACGTGTAAATATGTATATATATATATACACACACACGTATATACGAATACACATATGTTTTATATATATATTTGTTGTAAAATTTCTTATTTAAATTTTAAATTATCTTTAATGTACCTTGATTTATGCGTATTTTTTTTTTTTTGAAAAATAATTTTGTTTTCAAATTATATTTAATTTACCTTAATTCAAGTGTTTTTTTTTTAGAAAATTATTTTATTTTTAAATTAATTTAATATTCGAATAATGTAATAGTGTAGCAATAATAGTGTACCAAATACACTGTAACAAAGACAGTGTAACAAATACACTATAACAAAAACAGTGTTCAGTAATTTTGTGTATGTGGTAACAAATTCAAAACGGAGATGTACTATTTTGAATGAAACTATATGTTTGACAAAATATAATCTATGTAATAAAACATGAGTATGTTTAAATTTTATTCCAGTCATATTTTCTCTCTCAAAATCATCACCAATCACTTACCTCACATATCATCCCTTTGTCAGACTCAAACGTCAAATCGCATCACACATTTCTATTACATATTTAATTATTTATATATTTCCTCCCTAAAAATATTACACCATTCATTTCTATCATATATTTAATCATTTAATATTTGATTAATTTGTAGTTAATATTTTTTAAAAAAATTTAATATAATGAGATCGATTTTTTGAACACTCGAATTTTATATTTTATCATACTTTCAGGCACAGATTATGACTAGAAGTATAATATTTTGTGTAAATAGCTTGTTACACTGTTATTGTTATACTGTTACACTTTTATTGTTACATTATTATATTTTTATTGTTACACTATTCAGATATTAAATTAATTTGAAAATAAAACCACATTCAAAAAAAAATGCATGAATTAAGGTGCATTAAAAGATAATTCAAAATTTAGATAAGGGATTTAACAACAAGTATTTATATATATATATATATATATATATATATATATATATATATATATATATATATAAAATTCAAACAAATATATATATACGTATTTATATGTATTAAAGTTCTCCCATAAAATTAAGAAATTTTTAATGCACTACTTTCTAAAAAAAAGTTGTGCATTAAATACACATAGATTAATAGATGACAAAAATATCACAAAAAAATCAGTAAAATTCAAATAATGTACTTAAATACAAATAAGTATCAAAATTAAAAACTTAATTACTCAAAAAAAATTTATATGTATTTTTTTACAATTAAGTCTAATTGGGTGTACCCGTTCCAATTTTCCCTTAGTTTATTAACTATTATATTTTAAATGTGACAGGCTCGGCCCATATCAAGTTCAGTCCAAAATTATTAATCAGGCCTAACTCGTAGATCCAATTTAAATATAGATATCAAATTCATGTCATAGGTGTAGCTCGGCCCAAATCAGAAATACATACAAACAAGGACCAAGTTTATCGTCTTAAAAAATTCAGTCTACTAAGGATGCATGTTAGATCTCCATTTTAGGAAGAGAAATAAGGTATGTATCGTAAGTGATGATGCACAAATCGGCTTTGCGCAAAATTAACAGTTGAGTATATGTAAAGATACAATTAATGAGCAGTAAATAAACAATCAATAGCAAAATAGTAAATATGGAATCAACACAAAGATTTATAATAGTTCGGTCTGGGTGAACTACTCTACTCTCAAGAACGGGAGCGGTGACCGGATATCTTTATTAATAAATAATGTCACCGGAAGAATAACTCTGAGAGTATTACAATGCTTTGGAGAAAGAGAAAGAGAGAACAATGTGTGTAGAGGTGTAGTGTGTGTAGGGATCTTGTAAAGGTCTCAAGGTCATGCCAAAGATCTTAAGGTCATGTCCTTTATGTAGAGAGGGCTTACACTACATAGGTTTAGTAAGGCGGTGATGTGAGGGAGAGGACTTCTACTATTTTGGTAAGTGTAGTTATGGTAGGATTAGATCTCCGAGCGTATCCCAATATTCTCTTCCTCGTACTCCTGTTCCGTCAGAGGAAGATCTTGAGCTGGGTAGAACCTGATCCTGAGCTTGGACTTAGGTTGAAGTGGCAAAATGAGAAGTAGTGGACAGTGCTTGGACAGTTAAGGGGGCCATGGCCGACGCCCTAAGTGCTTGGGCGTTGACTCTTGATGCTTTAGGTGTTGGCCTCTTGGGCGTTGGCCTCTTGTACCTCTTGGGCGTCCGCATCTTGAGCATCTGTCTCTTGGACGTTAGCCTCTTAGGCATTGACCTCTTGATGTCCTTTTGGATTTCCTCCTAATGGGTCTACCCAAATTCAATTGGGCTCTTTTTTGGGTTTTCTTGGTTTATTTAAATTGGGCTTGACCTAGTTAATTTTAGGCTCATCAATAAGTCTTAACTATATTGTCTGTTACGCTAATATCATGGAGCCACCCACTCCCGTAACAAGAATGGCGCCTTAATCAAGGCTTCCCACAATGGCACCTTCATCAAAACCTACTCTAGGGCACCATAAAGATTGTACTCCCTTATAAATTGTAAGCTCCATTTACACATGAAAGGCATCACACACACCTCAACACACTACACCTCTTGAGCAATAATATTCTTCAACCACTGTAGTCATTCTTAGTGAAGTAGGTCACCCGAACCGAACCATATAATATTTGTATTTGATTGTGGTGAGCTTTTTTTATTTCATTCTTGATTGATTTTGCATAAAACTATTTTTGTACATCATTAAAATGATATGGAGAAATCATATGTATTGAATGATTAGTAACAGTGAGTGACGAAATCATATGTCGTGTAGTTTGACTACTTTATATATAAACGAACCAAATTTAAAAGACTTATTAAACAACAGTGTTGGGATTTAACACGCTTTAAACCTACAGACAAACACATGCAATCAAAGAACAAACTAATAACATAAAACAATAAGAAACAAGAAAAAAAAACGACACAAAGATTTTACGTTGTTCGATAATTTACCTACGTCCACAAAGCTGTAGGGATTTTATTATCGAGAGTGCGGAATACAGAGGACAATTTTCAATTACAATCAAACCCTAAACACTAAAATAGTTGTTTTTATATGTCCTGCATACCGGATTACAAAACAAACCAAATTTTTTTTTCTTTGGAGCGTTGACCCCGAACTCCCACAAAGCTTGTCCATGAAGCGAAGGCTTGGGCCACCTCAGAAAATTTCCTATTAAAAACCACATAACATTATTTCAGGTCGGATCATTATCTGAATCAACACACAAACTAGACTCTACAAAGATCCAACAAGCTGAGCTTAAGTCAAGCTCAAAAATAAGCCGGTGTCAAGTTGAACCCTAGTAATTCGGATCATTTCTCACCCCTAATTACACAAGAGACTTGATTTGTGTTAATACTTAATAGGGTAAACATGGGTGAATGGAGTAGGTGTTAATCTGGTCAAACCATCTGATGATGATTGGCATGAAATAAGTGCTTGATGGCGTTAGCTCTCATCCTCTTTAATTTCCACAAATATACAGAACCTAGCTGTCCATTAATCTATCTGGTAAAAAAAATACCAATAATTTTAGAGTGATGTTAGGATGATAAAAAAAAAAAAATAGGGATTAAATAATATGATATATTATTATAATGGTGGTATTTATTTCACATTTATATATATATAATTCAAATTTATCTCATTATTGTGATGTTATATAATTTAATTTATGTTTTTTTGTCCCTTTTTTGAGTCAGTGTAATTCTACTCATAATTTTATCAGTTTAACATTTTGATATCATTTATGTTAATAAATAGCAATCTTCCCATGTGATATTACTGATGAAGTTGTCACCGATACCGAAAAATAAAATTTCGGTATTACACCAAAATTTAATATATTTATGGGTATTTTAATCATTATTGTGAGCATTTTAACTAATATTTGTGATACCGATAAAAAATAATAAAAATAGTTATCACAATAGTGGTAAAAAAGTCTCATAAAAGTGGTAAAATCACTCATAACATAACAGTAGTACATTTTTTTGTACCAAAAAAAAAGTAGTAAAATAGTTACAACAGTGATAAAAATAACTACAATATTGATAATTTTTTAATTATAAAATGACCCACAAAAATTATAAAAATATTATTTAAAATAATAAATTTTAGAGATACGTTATTAATTTTTTTTTTTTTTTGGTGTCATAGTCAAGTCCATTAGTGAAATATGAATTCGTCAAAAAGTATGACATCAATAATGTTGATAAATATTCATAGGTAAAACCTTCACAAGTTGGATGAAAAGGTCGAATGACAGGCGCAATAGAATTAGTCCTCTATTTGTATCAATTTCTGGTTGAATTGATGCATGTATTTTATATATAATTTTATTTATATGAAATTTACATTGCAACCATGAATTGAATAAATGTGTGATTGAGATGATTCTCAATTACACAAATAAAAATATTTATGGATAAAACAATTGGAAAAGAACTTGATGATATATATGTCCCGTCGTAGTTCTACTAAAAAGTGAATTTGATAATTATATAATTATCAAATACATTTTTTAAATCAACATTTTAAGTTCAAGTAGCATTCCCCTTCTTTTGTTGTACTGAAGTATCACTTTTGATGACACGATAAATTTGACCAAATCACTAGATTTGATCTAATTAGCAATCTTTTATTAACAAGTGGCAAATAAGTTATTTTTTAAGCTGAACCAGACTCCTTGACCATTGGATTAAAAAAATGTTATTTTTCATTAAAAATAGCTAATTGGGTTTTCATTGTCAATTTTTTTTTTTTGGTGAAAATTGAAGGTGAGTCTTCCTAGATAGAATTATAATCACTTGAATCCTGAAAGAAAACTTGTTTAGGGGTAAGTTCATATTTAAACTTATTTGTAGATATTTAAATCTATTTATTTTTAAAATTTCAAAATTATTTCTAACGGTGTTAATTTTGTCCAATTATGAAAAATCACATAAGTTATATCATTGAGATATATATGAAAACTTTTGATTGAGTTATATATAAAAACTGTTTATTAAATATTATAATAATTAACAGAAGTTTTATATGAAAGTTATATATTCTAATAGTTATATATGAGAAGTTTAATGTACCAATAAAATTGTTGGTATATTAAGTCTAAATCAGATCACAAAATTTCATTAACAACAGTAACGCATAGTATAAGAAGGCTGAACAATGCCAACAGAGTTTAATATCACGAATGTTAATATATAATAACATTCATATTACTATATGATTGAAGTTACAATTAAGGTCGTGTTACTAATACGGTCGTGTTATTAGTACAATCGTGTTACTATAGTGAATTTTAACCTACAATTACAAATTTTGAGATGTATATTATGTAACATACACTTTAATATTCATAGTAACATTAAAATTTTGTGCTCAGTAATACATCTAATTTTACAAAATGTAAGACAATAATTTTTTTACAGTAACATTAACTTTTGAATAATTTTAGTGAAAATATGATCCACAAATTAAAAATTTACAAAATGACAAGTAGTAACATATAATTGATAGTTGAATTACAACACTCAACACCAACTGTGAATATTAAGACACCAAAACTCTGAACTCCTTTTTTTGGTTCACGTACAATAATATGAACTTTTTCTACAGTAACATAACTAAGAAATACTCGATTGTCTTGCGCAACAAAAAAATTAACAAAATCAAAATTTATAACACTTTAATTTAGTACTGATGTATGAGTTCTATTGAATCTTGGTCACAAGGTTAATGCCCACTTTGACAAAATTAAATCCCTAATTGTTATTACTTTTTTACTATATTACTATTTTTTTTGTAAACATGTAATTATTTTTTTTAGTGACCATGTTACTATCTTTGTTGAGTATGTTACTATTGTTATTTTTTAAATATTAATATTTTATCGATGCGGTTCAAAGTAAACTGAAATAGTAAATTGAAATTGTATTTTATGGAATGTAATGGGTTTGAAATTTGAATATGAACGATTTTTGGTAAAAGTCAATTTTTGTTTTTCGGATAAGAAAATATTGTGGCTTGGAAACTTGTAGCTGAATTTGAAAGCGATTATGAAGGATATGTATATGATTGATTATTGTGTCCATAAATGTCATTTATAACATTTCTATAAGAAAATATTACAATAGTAAAATTGACAAAAAACGGACTTAAAATTAAATAAGTTTTCTTGATGGACTTATTTTCAAATAAGTTCGTATAGGGGATACTGACCTCCAAATTTTCCTTTTTTTGGGAGGAAATTTGGAGGTCGGTCCCCCTATGTAGACTTGTTTGGACTTAAGTCCGTTAAAGACACTTATTTATTATGAAATCTATTTTTTATCAATTTTACTATACTATCCCTTTCCATTTATAAGTGAAATAAAATTAAAAATTAAAAATTCTTAAATCTTAGGAGTTTGACTAACATTAAAATTTTTTCACTTTTATATCCATCTATATCCATATATAGGTTAAGAGTTTGATTAACATTAAAATTTTTCCTCTTATATATATATATAGAGAGAGAGAGTAACATTAAAAATAAAAAATAGTAACATTCAAATATAAAAAAAAGTTGTCATTTGGACACAAAATTAATACATTTAAACATAAAAAAATAATAACATTTAAACATAAAAAAAATTGAAACATTCAATATTAATATTTTTAAAAAATAACAACAGTAACATGTTTAACAAAAATATTAACATGTTCAACAAAAATAGTAACATGCATAACAAAAACTGTAACATACTTAATAATAATTATTTCTCTTAAATTCAAACGCAAAAAATAGTACCATTCAAATACAAAAAATAGTAATATATATAAAAAAAATAACATTAAATATTAATATTTATGAAAATAATAGTAGTAACATGGTCAACAAAAACAGTAACATGCTCAAAAATAATAGTATATGAACAGTAACATACTCAACAAAAACATTAACATAATAAAAAAAATAGTAACATGAATTTGAATTTTACTATTCAAATTTATAGTAACTTTTTTTTTGTATTTGAATGTTACTATTTTTTTTAATGTTAATATATATATACCTAACCTATATATAAATATACATAAATAAGAGGGAGGAAAAATTTTAATATTAGTCAAACTCTTAACTTATATATGGATATAGATAAGTATGAGAGAGAAAAAATTAACTTCATTTCAAGGAAGGGTATTTTTGAAATTAAAAAAAAGGTAGACTTAAGTCATTATATATAATTTTAAACATGAACTTAGCCTTTTATAAATTTTCTTGTAGGGCTTATCTCCAAACAAGTACATCTAAGGGGAGTCATTTTTAATTTTCTCTTTTTTTTTTTGGTCTAAAAGTCAAAGGAGTTCGGCCAGCTTAAAAACACCTTGAAATTTGATTTCAAAACATAAGAGCTTACAAGTTATTCATATTACCACTTAAACTATTCTTAATTTACACTCATTATTTGCAAACTATCAGAGATGGCTCAAGTGTATAATTAAAGAGAAATTACTAAATTAATAATAAATTTTAATATTTGATAAAGTCTATAATTAATTTAAAAATTATAATAAATTAAGTTAATAAATTAAATTTCAATACTATTGATGATAATTAAAATGTAATGTTCTCAAATTCTTATTTTCTTCTAACCATAATGTAACCCGTCATTAATTTCAAACTTGGCGAAGACAAATCTCTGGTGGGGGGACAAGTGAATCCCCTCGGTACGGCGTCGGATAAATACCTTATTGACCAGCGTCTTCTCCGCAACTAAATCCAAATTAACAAATCATTTCAATACTAATCTTGTATTTTATCAAACTGTTGTTTTGGACTCCCAACAAACAGTAGCTGTAATTTTTCTGGTGTCCAACGGCAAACAGGGCAGACTAATGATAAAGAAAGAAAATCAAACAGAGAAAAAAAAAAGAAAAAAACATTTCCTTTTACCAAACGCAAGGAAGTAGAATTTTCCTTCGGGCACTTTCACTTTGATCTCACGCTTTCTGCAGCTTTGTTTCCGAATTTGTGATTTGGGTTGAAATTTCAAGCCAGTAAATTAGTGGGTTTGGTTTTGATTTGGTTTTGGGGTCTCATTTGGGTAAGTTTTCTAGTGATTACATTCCAAACAAGGTTAGTGGCTCTCTGTCTCTGGTTTTGTTTGGTTTTGTATGAGTTTGTTATTAGGAGATTAGTTGGGCTTTATGTGGTTTTGGTTGTTTTTCTGGTAGAGATCTTATGGAATCTTTGGTGGGTGTTTGGCCTATTGTGGTCTATTGTTGTCTTCTATGCTGAAGAGACTTCACATTTCTGTTGAATTTGAAGCACGAAAGTAGAGCATAGAAAGTTCTATTTTGCCATTTTTGTATAAGAGAAACAACCTAGATTTGGATGCCCGTGATTGCAAAAATCTTTGTTGTTTTGTTAGTATAGTTAATCAATAAACTTTTGTCAAAAAAAAATAGAGAATCTTTTCTTCTCTCTGTAACTTTTGGGGTGGATAACGATTCATTGAGAGAAACCCAAACCGGGACTGTGAGTGTTTCAGTTTGCATTTTTTTGCAATACTTCAGCAAATTTGCTGCTTCGTGGGTTAGAAGTTTTTTGAGCTTAGGCTTGGGATTGTGAAGTAGAGGATCTAGTTTTATTTTACTGTTGTTGTTCTTGATTTTGAAGAGAAAATTCATCTGGCTACTGTGGAGATCTTGGTTCATCTGTTATGTCCCATGAGGAAGACTTTCTTTCCTTCTGATTCTTGTAAAGAAACAGATCTTAATGCTATCGATCCACAATCATGGCTCCAAGTTGAAAGAGGGAAGCTTTCCAAATTCTCATCGCAGTCCCCATCTTCCATGTAAGCTTTTTTTGTTTTTTTGTTCATTTTGAACCATTGCAAATGTTTCATAACTGTAAATTATATATAAATTTCATTTTTATGTTGTTTGTAGAGAATCACTGATCAAGGTCCCAGAGCCACCGGTTCTCCCATTCTTTAAACCTGTTGATTATGTAGAAGTTTTAGCTCAAATTCACGAAGAACTTGAGTTGTGCCCTCCACATGAGAGGTCGAATCTCTACTTGTTGCAGTTTCAGGTCTTTAAAGGCCTCGGTGAAGCCAAACTGATGCGGAGAAGCCTTCACTCGGGTTGGCTGAACGCAAGCACCATCCACCAGAAACTTGTCTTCGGGGCATGGTTAAAGTATGAGAAGCAAGGTGAAGAGCTTATATCTGACTTGCTTTCTTCTTGTGGCAAATGTGCAAAGGAGTTTGGGATGATGGACATGGCCTCTGAACTACCCACTGATGTATATTTAGGTTCTCCTAGAGTTAGTGAACCATTTAGGAAAAATCTTTCAACAATTGTCTCTTTTCATATCGGAGATGAGAAAATCGAGTGTCACAGGCAGAAGATTGCGGGACTTTCAGCTCCATTTCATGCCATGCTAAATGGCTGTTTTACAGAATCAAGTTGTGAGGAGATAGATTTGTCTGAAAATGATATTTCCCCTTTAAGTATGAGGGTGATCAGTGAGTTCAGCCAGACAGGCAGTTTAAATGAAGTTACCCCAGAAATACTGTTGGAAATCTTGGTATTTGCCAACAAATTTTGCTGTGAAAGGCTCAAGGATGCATGTGGCAGGAAACTTGCTTCTCTGATTTCATCTATACAAGATGCAGTTGAACTTATGGAATATGCTCTTGAAGAGAATTCCCCTGTCCTTGCTGCATCATGTTTGCAAGTGTTTCTACATGAACTTCCCGACTCTTTGAATGACAGCAAGTTAGTTGAGTTATTAAGCAATGCTAACCGGCAACAGAGATCAATTATGGTTGGGCCAGCCTCATTTTCACTCTACTGTTTATTAAGTGAAGTTGCCATGCACCTAGAGCCCAAATCAGATAAAGCAGCTCTTTTCTTGGAACAGTTGGTAGACTCTGCTCAAACTACCCGGAGAAAATGGTGGCATATCATCAGTTGGGATGTGTTAGACTCCTGAGGAAAGAATATGCTGAGGCTGAGCAGCTCTTTGAGGTCGCTCTAAATGCAGGCCATGCATATTCTGTTGTTGGATTAGCTAGATTGGGTCACATTAGGGGCCATAAACTTTGGTCTTATGAGAAACTAAGTTCTGTAATCTCCTCTTCTACTTCACGCGGATGGATGCATCAGGAGAGGTCACTCTACTGTGATGGTGATGAGAGGTGGGAAGACCTTGTGAAAGCAACTGAGTTGGACCCAACCCTTATTTACCCTTACATGTATCGAGCTGCATTCTGGATGAGGAAACAAAATGTTCAAGATGCCCTGGCAGAAATTAATCGTGTTCTTGGGTTCAAACTTGCTTTAGAATGCTTGGAACTACGGTTTGGTTTCTATCTAGCTCTCGAGGACTACAATTCAGCAATTTGCGATGTTCAAGCAATTCTTACGCTTTGCCCTGATTATAGGATGTTTGAGGGACGAGTTGCAGCATCTCAGTTCTGTACTCTTGTGCGTGAACATGTTGAGAACTGGACAACAGCAGATTGTTGGCTCCAATTGTATGATCGATGGTCTTCGGTTGATGATATTGGATCCCTCTCTGTAATATACCAGATGCTCGAGTCTGATGCACCGAAAGGAGTTCTTTACTTTAGACAGTCTTTGCTTCTCCTTAGGTATATTCCAGTTATTCTACTTCTTCCTGATGTTTGGCTATACTTGGGGTTTTAGTTAGAAGCAAAAGTAAGTTGATGGTCTCTTTTTCAATTCTTCCCCAGGTCTTATGAGTGTAAGTCATTATTTTCCATGAATATTCAAAAGTAGTAATTTTATATTGTATTTATTGTCAAATCCTGAAATTTATTGTTACTTCCAAATTATCAATTTATGTTATTTCTCTCCAATGGCTTTGCTGAAGACTTCTTTATCAACGTGACACCTATGCTTGTGTATGACTGAAAATGTGTTGAAGAATGTATATGTGCATTTTTATTGGGTAACCCATAGTAAATGGTAATTACATTCTTTATTCTTTTACTATAAAGAACATATTGATATAATGAGACACTTTAATTGTCTATTTATCTTATGACTAGCTTCACTTGACATTGCTCTCCTAGACACAAATTATGTAATTCTCGTGCACCTTGTGCACCCGCATGCCAAAGGCAGACATTTGGGGCTTGATTTTAAATTCCAACTTATATTTCTGATTTTCTTTAATTCTAAGTAAGGCAACAACTGGTTTTTATTTCCTGAATGCATCTATTGGTCGCTGGTTTGCACCCCTAGTGATTTTGTTGGCCTATCCAAAATGGGAAGTGTTACTACTTGGCACTTGCTATAAGTCTCCTATTGTTTCATAAGACAATCATGATCTCTTCCTCATTCTGTACAACTTAACACCCTCCCTTCACAAAAAGTCCCTGCATTGGAGATGTCAGGGAGATATGTAACTGCATGTTATGCTTAATATCATTCACGCGTTGAATTGCAGCAATGGGATAAAACCTGATTGTAACCTTATGTTATGCTTTATCAGATTGAACTGTCCAGAAGCAGCCATGCGAAGTTTACAGTTGGCTCGTCAGCATGCATCAAGTGAACATGAACGTTTGGTTTATGAGGGATGGATCTTGTATGATACTGGTCATTGTGAAGAGGGGCTACAGAAAGCAGAGGAGTCTATTAGCCTCCAGAGATCTTTTGAGGCCTTCTTCCTGAAAGCTTATGCTTTGGCTGACTCCAGCCAGGATCCAGCTTGTTCTTCTACTGTTGTATCACTTCTTGAAGATGCCTTGAAGTGTCCTTCAGATAGGCTTCGCAAAGGTCAGGTATGGTTTTTCTTCTACCTGAGAAGGCTGCAACATTGAAGTCAATTGACCTTAAATTGTTGCTAATCTATTGACACCAAGTAGATGTCTCAATGAGGCGATTATATAATACAAAATGAAACTAGAAGCCTTTCAAGTAATAAGTTTCCAAAGCTACTAGTGCCATGTAAAGGGTTTATGTTCACATTACTTCACAAAGACAGGAAGATGAGTTCTTGCTGCTAGATGGATAGTTTGAAAGCTGTAAACAAATCATAACTCAATAATATAGCAGAAGAGGTAAAAGTTTAAGATTTTGTGTTTTATAATAACCTCCTAAGATTTAGTACAACGTGAAAATAGCCTGTTGCATGGGGGTGAGGTTGTGTAGCTCTAACCTTCCCAAACCCCGCAATGTTAGGAGCCTCGAGCATTGTGCTTAGTACATAGAATTGAGTCCCCCCTCCCCCCCCAAAAAAAAAAAAAACAGAATAAGTGAAAAATGAAGAATTAAGTCTGAGATTGCAAGTAGTTGTTTTGTGCAACCAATGCCAAAAGTAGGTCTATGTCTCTTCTGCCATTCTTAGCACGCAACATTAATGGGTGTAATGACCTTTTTCTTTTCTTTTTTTATAATGTAAGGTGGAGTGGGATAGTAGAAAAGGAGTCGAGCCACAGACCTAAGATCAGGGTTGGATTCTCTGCTAATTCCACTATGGGTAACTATATGCAGATGTAGCCTGCATTAGATATCAGAGAAGTCTCTTCATTCTAACAGTATTTTAAGACAACTGTTTTCTTTAAGAAAAGTGCACTAAGAGGCTTGATTATAAAGTATTAGATTCAGAGATCTTAAATGTATTCTCTTCAAAAGCAAATTTGACTGAAGCAATATTTCGAGTTTTATTATCATAAATTGGAACCTTAAAGGAAACAAGTAATAAATTTACAACTTACCAGACCCACACTGATGTAGCTTGAACTTTTAAGCTACTAAATTTTCTCACAGCCTAAATAAGTTCTCAGTAGAGAGAGTAGAAAAGAATAAGTACCATGTCATTGAACGTGAAGTGTACATACCTCAACACAAACCCAGTGATTTATAGTAGTTGCAGAATTCAGACTAAAATGTTGTTTGATAATTGTTCATAAGCCTAAAATCGATTCCCCCTACTTTCCTGCATAGGAGATAAAATGGACATCCAGAGTATCAATGGGTTTTCAAGGAGCACTATCTGAATCGTGATGGCTGACAGTAACACATCTTGCATTCGTAGCCTGGAGATTAAAACTGGATAGATTTATGCAATTTTACCCATCCAAAGCAAGAAACATATGACAGACTACAAAGCTAAAAGCCCATTTCCCCTGGTCTTTGATTCCTTGGTGGGAGTTTCATGGAAAGACAGAATGAGTCAAATTAGGTGAGTAAGAGTGGGAGTGAGATAATGAATCAAATTAATTATCAGCATTATATACACAAAGTGGCATCTACAATGCTAATGGTCAATTACCTAGAATATTTCTGCGAATTTAGGTTGTTTGTAAGGGTAGCCTGGGTACAAGTTTAATTCTCTTCATTATTAGCACAAAGTCATTGGGGAGCCTCAGGCTTTTACCACAATCCTATGGTCAACTTAATGCTAATAGGACAACTACTCAAGGCAATTAAGGTGATCATTTAAGATGTCTTTTGAAAAAACCAAGCTGGCTGCATGTGGTTTGTATAGGATCAGATGATAACTGTCATTCTCCTTGCATCTAAACAACCTTCCAAGTTGTCACTTGTCAACTTTCATATAGAAAATGGATATCATGTCTTATACAATGTCTTGCACTGTGTTAATAGCATCTTCAATCAAATACTACACAGTTTACAGCACAGTGCATCATTCTGCTTGTATTGGGCTACTGATGCCAAGGGACCCTGTTTGCATGGCCTAGTTATACTCCTACTTCCAATGGTGTGGTACCAGGGAATAATAATTGCATTTTCCTTGATATATCATTGAACACGTGACAGATATGATGATATCTGACGATTACTGGCTGCCCATTATGAAATAAGGTAGTTTAACAGTTAACATGATTGTTTTTTGGTTTGGAATCACCAGCTATCTCTTTATATTGACTGGGTACATAACTACTAATTTCAGTGTTGATGATGTGTATCGTGGGTTTTAGAATTTTCCTCCTTTTTTCATGATTTTATTTTTTGGCAATCTGAATCGAACCCCATGCAATTATCATGAGATTATTACCTTGTCACACTGTTAACCACAGTATCACTGGAAACGTGATAATTACTTTGGGTTCACTTATCTCATTCTGCCTAAATATTTGTCATGCTTACCTAGACTGCACCTGTTTAGAAGGGTCATAGCCCAAACAATATTTAACTTACTGGGTGTTGTGACCTTCAAAGTGACTGATTCTTGAGTTGTGAGCCTTCCTGAAGACAAATGAAAACAAGTTGTTCAAAAATACAGACTGGAACTGCTGATTAAAAATTTTAGCGTCTAGAAATAATAATATAAGTTACATATTGGGCGCTTAACTTGCCCGTTGGATATATGCAGAAGCGCATACCTTCTATATGTTTCTTGAATGATGTAATAGAGATGCATCAGACACTTACACATCCAACATTCTCTAATCCTCTCCCGATCATTGAATATGGGCAGGCGCTGAACAATCTCGGAAGTGTTTATGTTGACTGTGGGAAACTCGACTTGGCAGCCGATTGCTATATTAATGCCCTTACAATCCGGCACACCCGTGCCCACCAAGGCCTTGCTCGTGTGCATTTCCTTAGAAATGATAAGAATGCTGCTTATGAGGAGATGACCAAATTAATTGAGAAGGCTCGGAATAATGCATCTGCCTATGAGAAGAGGTCAGAGTACTGTGAACGTGAACTCACAAAGGGGGATCTAGAGATGGTCACTTGTTTAGATCCTCTCCGGGTTTACCCTTACCGATACCGAGCTGCAGGTAAGATTTTTCTTCTTCAATTCTGTTTTCTGTTTGTCTTCCTGAAGAACATCAAGCATAAAACTAATCCTAAACAAGCAGATTAGGTTCTGGGAAATTGAACTTCTGATGAAAGAGTTAAATTATTTGAACCATGGGGGTGTGTGCTGTGTCATGTTTTTACTATAACAGAAACCGGCTGTATGGTTTTCCTTCCTTGGACTGGACAATTCCCTGATATTGTAGTTATTTCTTGTTGCTTGATTCTCTTGAAGATATCTGCAAAGTTAAGGAATGTGAAGAATAATAAGGAGTGAAATTTGGAATCTTAAATGAGCACACAAAAGTTCTTTCAAGTATTCCCTTGGTTTTCTCCGTTTCTTAATTGGCTTGAAGAATCTCTAGTTGTGCTTTCAGTTTAATAATTTCATCTTCTATCATCTGAAAGTAAGAAAATAAAGAGGGATGATGTTTTGGGTGAGGATTATGCTGTGAGGAAACTGTTTGCTTTTTTGCTTTTTTTTTTTTTTTGTGGCAACTATCTGACTTTTTCTTTTTTATGCATAATTATTCGAATATTACTCCTAGGAATTGTCCATAAATCTGGACCTTCTGATCCATAATTACCGTTAAATACTTATTGCAGTTAAGACAATCAGAGGGTCATGAGAGCTGCCTAGTTGGATGATAGTTTTTGAGTTGTGTTTGTAGTCTATGTTAATAGTGATCAAAGTGCTTTAGCAGTAACCATTATTGTAACTAAGAAAGTATTTTATTTTAGGTTGATATTGAAGTGGAATTGTTGATTGTAACAGTTTTGATGGACAATCACGAGGAGAAGGAAGCCATAGCAGAATTATCAAGAGCAATTGCATTCAAAGCGGACCTTCACCTTTTACATCTACGGGCTGCATTCCATGAGCACATTGGCGATGTTCTGGGTGCCCTGCGAGATTGTCGAGCTGCTCTCTCAGTTGACCCAAACCATCAAGAGATGCTGGAACTTCATAGCCGTGTAAACAGCCATGAACCCTGAACCATGAGAAGAGGAAGAAACGAAAAAAAGAAAAAAAGAAAAAAAGAAAAATGTTCATGGCATGGGAAATGTATATCTTTATTGTATACTACCCAGTGTATAAACCTGTGAGCATGTGCTTGTAACATCTGTGTTTCATATTGCTTTTAGTTTTATCCTAAAATTTTGTACTAGGCTTCGAAATTTTTGGAAATATAATTAAGTTTTCGACCTGATAAAGATTATATCTTATTTTCATAATTTTTTTTAATTCGGTTATTGTATTTCGGATCTAATTCACCATAGTCCGATGAAACAAACACTCTCTTAGTAAATTGAGATAGTCACACTCGGTGGATCACTCTATTTGGTAGTGACGGGTTTCATGGCTAATTTCTCCCTCAAGTTTCAAATGGTGAGTGTAAGATAAATTTGAGATTAAGATGTTCTCTATTATATTTTTAAAATTTTTATTCAATGGTCGATCATTTATTCTTTATGTAAGTACTAATTACTGTCTTTGTTTGAAGGTACATAGTAATAAAAAAAAATTTCAATCATAAATATATTTGTATTTACACTCAAAATTAAATTATAAACATAAAAGAGAGAGAAAAAAAAATTTAAACACCAGTCTGTAGTGGGGTGAATAGTGGTAATTGTGATGGTGGGGGAGGGTGATGATTGTTGTGGACGGCAACACCCGTAGTAGTGGTGACAACTGTGGGCAACAATGGCGATGGTAGTGTTGATTTTTGGGTGCCGATGGTAGTAGTGGTAGCCATGGGTGACTGTGGTGGTGTAAATGGGTGTGGATGGTGGTGGGCGACAATAAAAATGGTTGACAGTGATGGTGGTGGCAGCGATAATGAACAATAACAATAAAGGTGGTGGATTGTGGTGATGGGCGACGACAGGTATTTTGTGGGCGACAATGGTGGTGGGTGGTGGAAAATAACGATGATTGTGGTAGATGACAGTGGGCGACGACTGTGATGGACAATGACGGATAATAGTGGTAAGTATGGTGGGGGTGGGTGACAGTAAGTGGCGACAGTGGTGATTGGTTATGGTAGTGAGTAGTTGTGGTGAGCAACGATAGTGATGGGAGCGTTGAGTGACGGTGTTGGACATGGGGATGACATGGTGGCGAGGGTGGTGGTAGTAGTGATGATGGGGTGATAGTAGTGGTGGTGGTGGTGGGTGGCAGCAACAATGTTGATGGTAAAGTGTTTTGTAAAAAATTGATTTTAAAGAAGTATAAATTATTATTATATTTTTACTTTTACTTATTTAAATGACAAAAATTACTTTTAACTTACTTAGCAGTAATTTAAATAAGTTGTTCTAAATGTTTTTTTTTTATAAAAAAAATATTTATGAGAAATTATAAATCGTAAAAATATTTTTGAAAAGTCACACAAACACATTCTTATGAGGTCTATTTTTTCTATTAAATTTAAAAATTTGATATTAACTGTTAGATTAATTTTAAAGTAAAATTTAAAACGATTTTAATCCCGAAAAATAAAAATAATTTATTATATTGTATTTTATTATATAGATAACTTAATATATAAGTAGGTCTATTATATACCGTTTATGCATATCTTTCATTACGAGAAATTGAGGGAGAATCTACAAATAAGCTAGAAAAGAAGGTTAGTAGATTTTGTAGAATTGCAGCAAATCCCCTCGCCTGTTCCTTGTAGGCAGAAAAGGGGGAAAAATAAATTGTTTGACCTTGGATTGTCAATTAATGACGTGTTAATTAACAATCTGACGGGGCAGGATCTGATTGGTCACCAGGGCCCTACGGTGGACTGCCCTTTTTGGGCTTTTGGGGTCGGTTCGGGTCAGGGTGATTTCTCGTCGAAGGGTATTTATTAGTGGTTAACTTCAGTTGACATAGCTTCTCGTCGCTTGTTTTAGATCGCTTCCGAAACGCCTGATGTTAGGTACTCTCTCTCTCTCTCTCTCTTTCTCTCTCTCACACACACACGTATGAATGCATTAGGATTTAGGAGCACATGATTCTCATGTCAGTGAATTTTGATATTCTTTTTTTGCCTTCTTTCTGCTGGAGTAATAAAACCATATTGCTCTTGACTACAGATTTTGAAGTAGCGAATTCAATTATGTTCTTCATGGAAATATGTATATATGTGTGAGTGTGTGTGTGTGTGTGTAATCTTGATTTGCAGTTTGCACTATTGATCTTGTTTGATTAAAAATTGAAGTACAGAGGTTTGGGCAAATTTGAGCTGATCATGTGATTTTCTTTTTGGAAAGATGGTTGTTTCGATAGAAGAAGGCATTAAGAAAAGCAATTGTCTAGTTTACTCTTATTTTTTAAGAATGTAATTTGTTTATGGTCGAATAATTGATTCTTGTATTGGTTCTCATCTTGCTGATGGCAATGCGGCTTAATCGTAACAAAGCTAGGTCGAATGGAGGAACGAAATTGCCAGACCAGATAGTGATTTTTCTCTGAATCCTATTACAAAAAAGTACATCAATGCTCAAAGGCCCAAGGTTCACAATCCAAACCATCACAGGAGGTACCACCAGATCTAAATGGTCTTACACAGTGGTTTCCCCCTCCTCTGGAAGTTTTAAAGTCAATCTTGATGGAGCGATTTCCAATTCCATTAAGGAATCAGAAGCTGAAGTGGTGATGCGGGATTGCTATGGGAAGTTTGTGTAAACTCCAGCCGGAACATGTGGAGGCATTGGCAGCTTCTGTAGCTTTGGATTTTCGGTTAGAATCTGGTTCAACCAAGGTGATACCGGAAAAAGACTCAAAGGGTATGATTGTCTCTAATTTCAATGACAAACAAAATATGTCGGATATAGGCCATTTTATTGGTCAAATTCAGTAACAGGCAAGGGAAGTTGCTTCCTTCTCTGCCTCTTGGGTTTTGTAGATCTGCTAACGCAGTTGCATATCTGGAGGCTAAATCAATGTTACCTTGGGTCGCTTTCGTACATGATATGAGTATAGATACGCAGAACGACACTTTGTTAGATACAAGGTATGATGGGGTAGATATAGCTAGTATGGTGTTTTGGTAGCAATTCGTTTTAGAACTCTTATCTAGATTATTCTCACTATTATATAACATTATATATTTTAGAACACCCATAAACACTAAATTAATTACCATTTTTCTTACATTTTTACTCGATATTTTGATATCTAAAACAATATAAAATTATAAATTTACATACACTTTGTTAGTTAATATATATCTTATATTTGTGTTACATATTCCAAAACAAATCAATTTAGGGTTAGTATTATAATTTGGGGTTATACATTTTGGTGATTTGGATTGTAAATCCACTCTATTTGGTAATGATGTACCAAGATCGTGGTTTGTTAGGAGTTCAATAAATTTTGGTAACTATGGGCCAAATATGTTGGTAGTGGTAATTTTTTTTCGTATTTGAAGCAATTAGCCCCACTGGCTTTAAAAGTATGTACATATTTTTTGAAATTAATAAACTCCTAGTTTCATATACAAAAAAAAAAAAAAAAGGAACTGAGCCATTCAGTAATTAACATAATTATATGAATATTATATTCTGCATTTGAGAAATTAGGTAATGTTGTGTTTCGTAGATAAAAAAAAACAACATTGAAGTGTTACGTTGGAGTATGATATTATGCTCTCTATACGCAATTGTTTGCAATCTTTATGTTTGGAAAATTCATAATAAATCGAGAGTAATGTTTCCAAAGCATTCTACCAAGATAAATTTATTTTCCTCAGTTTTAAGCTTGAACACAGGTTATATTAATATGATCCTTCTTTCTTTTCAGGAGCTTAGTTTGATCGCTCAATCAATGATGAAAGGATTTAAGGTCGCAGTAACGTTAGGACTATTTCTCTGTGCAATTTCATCTGCTGTTCATGGGGTGTCAGTATCCTGTATGATGGCATATGATGAAGGTGGTGTCCCTGCTGTTTTTCAATCTCCAGAGTGCCTGAAGTGGCTTCTACTTGTTGAGGCTCATCAAAATCAGACTGATAATTGTCAGTTTGCCACACTTCAAGGGCATAGGGAATATCAAGAGGACTTCGTTACATGCAATCTTGATATGAAGATACCTATTCCAGGTTATCTCAAATTTTCACTCTACTAGCTTTATTTATCAGAATATTGATGTGGCTACCTTTTGTTATAGTTGGGATTCAATGACAGCTTCTGGTTTCAATCCGTGAATCCTTCTGCCAAACCCTCCTCTCTTGTAAAATTAAAAAAGGATTTGTTGGCAGCATAAAACTAGAAAATTTTTTGAAACTCGACATGGGATGCAGGTAAATATGGGCCTGAGAAGGTTACAGTAGGTCTGGCAGCAGTATTTGATGGTCATGGTGGCAAGGAAGCAAGTGAGATGGCTTCAAAAAGTCTTCTGGATTATTTTTTCCTCCATGTTTTATTCAACACATACAAGCAAACATTGCCCTACAAGGAAGAACATGATATGGTTTCTCAAGGTCATAGTGATGAACCAGCACACCATGTTTTAAATCTAAGGTCTGTCATTTTAAGTTCTTGTACTATTGTAAGGATAGAAAAAATGAAAAATGCAGACTTGTTAAGTATTTTAATCATAGGTTGTTGTTCCGTAACTCTGATCACAACATTTGTTTTTGACTTATGTGCACCATGATTTCATTCAAGTATCTGATTGTTGAACTACTGGATGATCTATACAATTTATTCACAATTGACAACTGTCACCAGTTCACATGGTTGCACCACTCTGGTATCCATCATAATTCACTGGCATCTACACGTAGTAAAGATCTGAACATTCCAAAATGGGATCAATTGTAGAATTATATTTAAGTTTAGGCTTCTTGATTTTTGCAGTTCTCAGGAAGCACTCCCAGTAGTTGACAATGAATCACTACATTGCATTTTGAAGGAAGCATTGTTAAGGACAATCAATGATATTGACTCAAAATTTTCAAAGGCAAGTATTTTGTCAGTTCCCTGTTCATCTTCAGTTCAAAAAGAAATTTCCCTGCACATTAATCTTCTGACAGAGATGTTGTCATAATCTTGTTTTTCAATTTATTGTTTTATTTCCAGGAAGCTTTCAGCAATCACTATGTTTCAGGATCTACTGCTACTGTTGTTCTTTTGTTAGATGGTCAAATTTTAGTTGCCTTTGTTGGTGATTCAAAAGCACTCTTATGCTCGGAAAATATTCAGTCTCGTTTGGATGCGGAAGGTCTGATCCTTTTGGCTATTGCTAAAAGTCACTTCTATAGTTTTGTTTATTGTTTCCCACAATTAACTGGACCCTATGAGAATGATGAATACTGATCAACAAATTTATGTTATTTTTTGCTTAAGTGTATTTCTTGTACATTTTACGATATGTGTTGTTTGGTGGCATGCCACTTGGAATATCAGGTACTTCAGTAACGGAACTTTATGCTCAGGAACTAACAAGAGATCATCATCCAGATAGAGCTGATGAAAGGGCCCGTATAGAAGCAGCTGGTGGTTTTATTCAGAAGCGTGGTGTGCCTCGTGTCAATGGTATATTGGCCTTGTCCAGATCTATTGGTGATGTTTACTTTAAAAGGTACATTTTTTTTCCACTCAGAAGCCCAGCTTAATTCGAAAATAATTTGTACTATTCTTCGTTATTCCCTTAATTTTCACTACCAGGGGATTTCAACCCCCCCCCCCCTCCCCCCTTCTCTCTCACTCACATCCTCTATCTGTTATGAGTTGGATACTTCCCTCCATTCTGTGTCAACCTTATGTGATCTCTCACTCATTATTTCTGATTTTATATGTTCTCTCTGTTACTACAGGTACGGTCTTATTGCTGTACCTGAAGTGCTAGGTTGGCTATCCTTGACAACCAGTGACATCTATCTGGTGATTGCATCCGATGGGATATTCGAGAGCTTAACCCCACAGGATGTTTGTAGTATCTTAGGTAATGCACGCACCCAAGGAAACGAGATGGCGAAGAACTCGTCTTCATGTTCTGCCTCGTCATCGTTGGCTGACTGCGTTGTCAGTGCTGCACTTACGGAAGGCAGCACGGATAATTTGTCAGCTATTGTGGTTCCATTGAGACCGGCTGGTTCCTCCCAAGAATATTTAGACGAGTTGTGACATGGAGCGCAATCAGTTCTTTAGCTTTAGCACTGCAATTACGAAGCTTATATCTCGTTCTCTCCGAAAATCATTTGTAACGAGGTAGGTATGCTACTTTTTAAAGGCCACTAGCTCAGAACTGCATTTTTTTTTTGGTTCAACAGTCAGGAGTGTCCAAGTATATTTATGTGTACCTCAATTAATCCTTTCTCCGATCTAATTAAAGGCGATCATCTACACTACAATTAAGATATTTATCTAGGATAAATCTCTCATGACCCAGAGGTTTAGAGACTAGATTTTGAGTTAACACTAGTCGATTATTTAGAACAGCAATATGGAGTGAAGCATCCTTATCGCACAATTAGTCCTTCCGGTATGTCTATACGCCACTCAAGCTAAGCTGGAGAAGGTAAGAACCTCAGACGATTACTACAGCCTCAGATTGTGTCCATTCGTGAAATTATTAGCGTCCCCTTTGTGAATAATCAGACAAAACTTGAAACAAGGCAAGATGTGTAGAGCCTGTTGAGAATTGCTGTTGCGAGCATTTGCTGTTTTCTTCACGAAGTCTCGTCTAAGCTTACCATCTGGTTCCATTGGTAGGGCGTCAGCTCAACCGCATGTGTGTGGCAACATATGAATTTGAAGACCCAAAGTGCCTAACATTCTAGAACCGGAAGTACAGGTATGTATTGCTTGAATTATGAGCACAACCAAATCAGGAGCAACTCTAAAAGGCTAGCTAAAATTTCTTTTTTAGCTATTTTATATAGCTTCTTCTTAAAATATGGATCTAACAGACTAATTATTCTCTTATTTATTTTTTATAATCTCTTTTTCACTAGCTATATCTAGCTAGCCACTTCTCTCTAATTACATCATAAGTTGTTGGTCTAGTGTTTGAATGAGACGATCGATAGAGAGATGATGGAATCTAATTTGATCAAACTCAAAGTCTTCACAAGTTTTCGATCATACAAAAGTTTTGAGGTGATTTTGTTTTGAATTTTGTAATTTAATTTGAGAGTAATAATTTTCGAGAGGTGGATTCTCTCTTGTAACTTATAATTGATTAAATTTGTACAATGTATAGTTCAATTGCAATTTTTTAAATTTTATTATTGAAAGTTAGTTAAAATTAATTGAAGTGGTTATTTAAAATAAATAGCGTGGTTGAAATAAATTTGAAAAAATAATTAATTAAAATAGATAATATAATATTTAAATATATTTTGAATAACTATTTTAAATAACATTGTTAGAAATGCTCGTAAATCACCCATCCACGGTTAATACTTTGACCATTCTATGTATAAGTCTCATGCAACGATTTAATTGAACCAATGTGCATGGTTCGAGTATTTCATGGAAAATATAAAAAGGAATCATGACAAACTACCAAATACAGATTTTTTTTGTGTAGATTATCACAGAATTCTTTATTCAAATAATATTCATAGTTGTGGTGCAGACTGGTTAAATTCCTTAGGATAATTAACCTTTTATTATTCGTATTATTATTGTTGTTAGCATTTAGATTTTACAATCTGGCATCACCGTTAGAGCAACAATTTGGAGCCAAGACTTGTATTAGAGATGATGCATACAAAAATATAATATACAATATTCCTTTTAAAAAACAACTGGTTCAACCAGTCAGTACAAGATAGTAAGAGAATATAAGGCCTTGATTGATTTTCATCTCAAAAATTATTTTCCTTCTTAAAAAACAATTTCTTAAAATAAAACTGTTTGGCCAATTTTTTTATTTTTTTTAAAAACTGAAAATAAAAACTAAATAAATTTAGAGAACAAATTAAAGTTATTTTTGAAAACAACCTTTCTAGAATTTAAAAAACACCACCACCACCACCACATTTCATTTCTATTTTTATTGTTTTTTGGATTGTTATCAAAACAAGTTTTAACATTTTCTATTCTGTAAAACTGTTTTTAAAATCATATAACCAAACAAATTCTGCAACATAAAAAACACTTCAAACAGTTTTTTAAAACTTTTCCTAAAAATAATTTTTGAATATTATTTTTTGAGATCCAAACAAAAGAGAGCCTAAATTTCCTTTCATTTAAGGGACTATGACAAATCAAATTAGTTGTGACATATTACTACATGATAACCAGCTAAAAGGTAAAAGCAATTACAAATGTACAATATATACACAAAAAATGAACTGAAAGACGAAAGAAATTTCCCAAAAAAAAAAATAAATTAAACCATAAGCAAAATTCCGAACATTTATAACCAGCTTTTACAGACCAACTCGTCCGTGACATTCCTTCAGTACTATGTGATCACAGTAACCCTTTTCCAATCCCGCAGTTATTCTACAAGAAGACAATTTCAGGTCAAAATAATAATCATCACCCCAAGAAAAATGTCCACATCCTCACAACAAAATAGATGAAGCAATGCTCAGGACCTTCGATCTAAGAAATGATAGGCAGGCTTTCAACGGAGTCCATAGAAAAGGTACTTGGCATAGAAAATGAGGATTTCACAAACATCCCCTTTTCCCCATTCCCGAAGCTTCTTACACCTAATATGTGAAGCTGCTCTCGATATGCAAAGAATATATTCATAGAAAAAAAAAAGGGTAAAAAGAAAAGAACACCGTCATCCATGTAGTATAAATTATATAAAGTTTTGACTAGAAAACTGCCAAGGAGGTACCTTTTCGAACAACGAAACTCATCTTATGGAGCGGTGCATAAACTAGATCTTTCCATGACCTTGTCTTTGGGTAGATGGCAAAAAATAAGGATGCCGCAAAGCATCATCAACACTCGGTCGATCCTCCTATAATTCAAATGCATTTGAAAACACACAATTACATCCATTAATCCAATTCACAACCAACTCTCACTCGATCAAAAACATGTTCCAGATCAAAAGCCAAAATAGATTCCAGGTTCCATACGATAACACCAGCTATAAAATAACAAAACAATCAATTACAATGCAATATAGATGCTTCTTAACTTATTTCATTTGTCTTTACATTTTCAAATGCAACACTTACTGGATTCCAAAGTAGTAACTGGCGTACTAACCGCAAAGCCCAAATATTTGGAAACCTACATAAATTGCAAAAAAAACAAAAATAAATAGTTAGGTAACCACCAAAACTAGGCAATGGGAATTAATACGACAATGTATGATAAAATGGCCTTGATAGAGAAAAAAAAATGCTTCACAGAAAAGATTGACCCTAATTTAAGTGGATCTCTGCTCTTTATTTGATGGGAAAAGAAATCTTCAGAGCACTTCCAGGAAGCTGGTGAATTTGCGCCCTGGATACAAAAACCAATTACCTCAATTCATATGCATTTTCAACCAAAATCTTAAAAAAAAAAAAAGAGTGGCACAGTGTAGGCACTGTGCCACTGCAGGTTGAGGGTCATTTTGAAAACCAATATCTCTTGCACAAAAATAACATTCTATAAGAAGTGCAAAAATGGAATCCTACGTAAAATATGCCAACCTTTCAAGTGTACAACTGCTTCCAGACGAGAAAAGCTAACCTTCCCAGTAACTTAAGTAATTTCGCCCATTTTTTTTCCAAAGTGGGTCAAGACGTCCTTAACTTATAGATTCTAAAATTTTCGGTGTTGGGTGTACATGTCATCTGTAATATCCTAAACTCTTTTAACCACGGTATCATCACGAAGCTGCCTTCTTTAACTGCTCCACAATTGCAACGAAACTGAAAATCACCTTTCCCCGTACAAATTTGTTTTGTGATCTTATGACAAACTTAGGATTCAATCTAATAAACAGGATAAAGACCAGCATCTTTAAAGATAGAATTAGTAGAAACCTGTCACCAGCAAATTCAGACTATCACCAAAGTTTTGGTGAGAATCATATTCCAAAGAGTTTTAGATATCACGAAACAGATGTTACAAAAAAATAAACTCAATACTCGATTACCAGTGTTTCAATGCATGGTGAAGGCCCACACATATTATGAAAAAATGGATTTTTGCCCACTAATCACTACATACAGGACCTATGGGTAAGGGCAACAGCAAATAAAAGAGACATAAAGAGAGCTGGAGAAAGACCTATGTGTATGATATTTCTATTCTATCCACCCATTTGTCATCCATGAATTTCAATTCCATAATAATCACACATCAAAATTCAACAAAACACCATATTGAAAATCTTTCACATAAAATCGATATTCTGCATTTCAAACCCACATCCAATAAAACTTGTTTATTGAGCAACGTGAATTCCTGACTACTACTTATTTCTCATAACAAAGATGATTGATCAGTACAATGAATTGTTATTGCAACCAATAAATCCTTTGGTGTCCTATCAGTCAATGCTGATTGAGCAGAAGAAAGAAAGGGCCAACTCAGACAATGAAGGAAGTACATTGCAGACAAGACAGAATAACATACAAACAAAACGATATTCTGTATCAGCAAAATCATGCATGTCAACCAGATCATGCCCAGATTGACAACAAAATCCTTATTAATATAATTATCGCCTAAATAAGGCTGAATGTGAAGGAAAATGGGATGATGCCCTGAGCACGCAAAAAGGTTGGGGAGAAGAGAAGAGAAAGACCTTGAACGCATCCAACCATATGTACAAAAGTATAATTCAGTCAAAAACGGTAAACACACCTGATCATTTGTACCCCAAGTGCGATGAGGTTTTGAAGAACTCCCAGGGATTAAGATGCACATTTCCATGAATGCTCTGAGTCTGACACCACGAAACATTGCAAGAGTTTTCAACAATACCAAACTAATAGGAAAGAAGGCATGCTACTGATCATCATCTATTTATACCATGTAGATCATTTTTTTTCTTGAAATATTAACTAACTTCCTCAGGACCCAATTCGTAGGTCCATATTGTAGTCAACAAGCTCATGTTCAATCATTTTGCAGAAGGTGCATTCATGTAGTTGTGCAAGTAATAGGATTATAACTACAAAGACTTATTGACCTTTACATGCTAGTTTAAATACACCATGCAACATAACCAGTTTTCTTCTAGCTGGTGACCATATTTAGTTAATACAACAACATACATAAAATAAAAAACATGAAAGGACAAAGCATAATAAAAGTATAACATTAATCATTTAGAATAGATCCCATCCATCGAAAGCAATTTTTAGTGCTTGACTAATATAATAGAAAGTAAAAGCACTTCTTCAATTCTATGAATGTAACTACGCTACACCACCAACTATAGACATAGTAGGTCTTCTAGAGTGAGCTAGAATATAGAAACACTAGAACCATAAGTTGCACCATACTATACTTGACTGAACCTACTTACACCGATTCAAATACGGTAATAAGATTTCTTTCTCGATCAAATACAGCAATAATATGTTAGCTTTGAGGGCACCTTTTCCTAAAGCATTTCTTTCTCCATCTAAAGTCAAGGATGAAACGAAGGGGAAAATCGCTTACCAAGACTACTCCGAAGAATTAATGAGCCTTTATATGTTCCGCACAATGCGTAAACGGAGACACTTTCTCCTTAATTTGCTAGTCTCATGTTAGTAAATGAATGTCAAAAAGGCCACAAATTCACCCAAAGATCTTAATAACACAAGCTAGTAATTCTCCAATGGTACATGAAAGTATCATCAGAGTTAGATGACCAAAATTGTTGTCTGCAAATAGTAATTAACCTGCACACCACTTTTACAAGGAACAGTCCATGATCTCAAGATGGTGCAAATTAGCTCATCTTAAAAAGGCATTTTATATTGATACGATGGTGTCAACAAACAAGGTGAGCATTTCCTAGGATCTGTTCAATGCTTTAATAGTAGGAAAGCAGGCAATGCTCTTTTGATAAGAAAGGTAGTACCAAAAGGAAAACACACAGGCTTCCATAATGTGAGGTACTTACCAAATTGTAAATGCTAGGTTTCTAAAGACAGGAACAAACCCAACTACACCTAATCGAGGACTAAAAAGAAGAATTATATGCATGACAAGCACCATTTTCTATAAGCAGATAGAAACACCAAGCTCACCTTCTCACCTATGCCTCTGGACTACTAACAAACTTAGGCAGAACATTAGGTAGGGCAAATCTACACCACCAAAATATTCATTAAATTTTCCTTGCACAACTTTCCCATTTGATGCTGATTTATTTAACAGGCAAGATGACACTGCCTGCCCTCTTTCCCCTCTCCCCAACAAAATAAACTCCACCTCCGCCAGAAGAAGAGAGAAAGGGGGCGGGGGGGTTGCACATGCAGAGGTGAAAGATTTTCCTCTTTTATCTTGAAAAAATATCCATCCCAAATTGTCTTTCTGACATATCTCCCTAACTCTTTCATCTCTGCATGTGCAACCCCCCACCCCCGGGTCCCTTTCTCCCTACACTGATTTAATATACATGATCACATAACAAAGCTACAACTAAAAATATCGTATTCCTTCTCTACAGAGTTCTTAAGTTCATCCTTCTGAACACACACTATCACTGGTACATAAAGCCTAAACAATGTCTGATTTAATATACAAGATCACATAACTAAAGCTACAACTTGCATTCCTCACAGAGTTCTTAAGTTCATCCCTCTGAACACTCACACACACACTATCACTGGTACATAAGACCTAAACAATGTCTGACTTCCAAAAAAATTGTGTTCCTACTAGTAATGGAAAGTCAACAGCGGTGCTAGAGTCATGAGGAATAAGAATTGAGACCATCCGAGTAAGAAGTGCTAGAAGGTGGGGAATCCCAAGAAGGGCGTTAATCAGACTGATGAGGAAAGATATGCTGACCAAAAGAGTTAAGAATGTTATGATAGAGAATACGACCCCTAGATTAGCTTTAGTGGCAAAGATCATCTAGCCGACTCAAGGAGATGAGATTTAATACTATTTTTTTTTATATGATATTGTTGCAACCAGAATGCTGTGATTACAAAAATGCAACCAGAATGTAGGACACAAACACCAACTAGGTTTTCTAGCAGCCATAACCAAAAATTATGTCAAACCTACAAAAATCATGGGGAAAAGCCTTTCAGAAAATAAAAACTATGTTTTTTGCAATTTTTGTGTTGATCAACATTTACTTTTAAACTTAATACTTCAGTTGTACTGGCAATCCTATGTCATCACTCAAATATGTTTAGTACGTGACTTCTACATAGTGAAAGATCCTGTACCCATATCAAGACACTTACTCATAGTGCATAACAAAAACTTTTGACCTAGGTGAATGACTGAATGTACAGGATGTCACAGATGTGATGTAAGTACAACTCGATAGTTTGGAATCTGAAAATCAAGCTAGCAAGATTCATGCATCTAAATTACAAGACTCACTTATATGCGAGCTCCTTTAAGCCTTCGTTCCAACCCTCGAGGTGTCGATCTAAAAGAGCATGTGTTTTAGCATTTATCTGAAACACATTTGGTGATCCTAAAATCAACTCCAACATCACAACACCAGCGCTCCACATATCATACCTATCAAACCACCAAGTAATAACAGATAATCAGCCCATCGTCTACAAATGGGAGTATGCAACATAGCAGATGAAGATGTGTTACTAACATTTAACTGAAAAACATCTGGAGATGCATTCATTTTTTCAGGGAAACATGAAAAACCATATTATGCATTCCACAACTCATAATGTTACATGCACTAGAGAATATGCATCAGGAACCTGTGTTGGCCACTTGGCACTTGGCATGGGGTAAAATGTGTCTGGCATGGCCCACTAGAAATTAATCGAGAAAGCAAATCCAGATATTCCAGTTTCCCATGTAACTACAGACAAAACTCTTTTTCTATGTTCCTTTTTATTTTTATTTTTTGCACGATTACTTCAAATGAGTGAAGTGCTAATGTGGGTGTTAAGAATAATAGGGTAGTATGTGCAAAGTGTAATTAGTAAGAGGGTATATGTGTAATTCGTATTACTGTAGGTTAACTATAAATACAAGTGATGTATGAGAGCTAAGTTAAGTTTTTAACCTCTCTCTTTCTCTCTAATATTGCGTTATGTTAATTCACTCAACCTAACATGGTATCAGAGCAATATACGATCATAAATATATATTCTAAATAAACTTTGTTCGTACAAGTGCTACTGTAGTGGTGGTTGCTGTTGTTTGGCGGCTGTGGTCATGGTGGTGTGGCTGTTGTGGTGGTGAGGCGTGGTCTGTGGTGGTTGTTGTGATCGCGTGGTTTGCGGTGGCTGTGTGGTGAGTCATCGGCGGCGTGGTCTGTGGTGGCTGCTGTGGTCGATTCGTGGTTATGGTGGTTCGTATAGTCAGTGGTGAGGCACAGGTGGACTTTCTGAAACCCTAACCAGTGAAGAAGAAACAGCCCGACCCGATCCACTTCGGGTCAACCCAAATCTGACCCAATCCATTGTTTGGTTCGGTCCAGACTAATCTTAGACCGGTTCAATGCTCCATCAAGCAAAACCGACACCGGTTCAGTGGTCCAGAGGGCTAAACCGGCCCGATTCAGTGCTCCAATAAGCCAAACCGGCCTAGTTCAGTGCTCCAGTAAGCCAAATCAACCCGGTTCAGTGGTCTAGAGGGCTAAACCGGCCCGATTCAGTGCTCCACCAACCTTGTCCAACCCGGTTTAGTGGTCCAACTATCTTTTCCAGCCCGGTTCAGACTTCTAGCAGTCTCTTTTTCTCTACTTCAGTATTATAACTCTTCTTGTTTACTATTTGCTACATTATTATGGAACCCAAGCAAGATACCAGGTCCCTTACTCCATCTTTGTCTTCTCCAACCCTTATCAATGGTCCCATGACCTCTGTCAAACTTAATGGGACTAATTACACTTTATGGTCTCAATCTGTTCAAATCTTTCTTCGAGGTAAAGGATTTAAGAAATATCTAGTGGGCTCTAAACCCAAGGAAGACACTCCTGGGTATGATCAGTGGGAACAAGAGGATGCTCAGATTATTTCTTTATTGTTGAATAACATAGAGCCCAGTATTAGCTCTTCTCTGCTCTATCTTGATACTACCAAAGAGATATGGGATCGCTTGGCCACGATGTATTCTGGTACAGGTAATTTTACCCGTGCGTATGAGATGTGCAAGGAGTACTTCAAATTAGAGTAGGGTACTCTGAGCCTTGCGGATTATTACTCTCATGTTCGAGGAGTCTGTGAGGAGATGAAGACTTATCATCCATTTACTACTGATGTAACAGTTTGGCAAAAGCAACATGAGAACCTGAATGTTGTTAGATTTTTGGTAGGATTAAAACCTGAATATGAGGCTATTCATTCTCAGATTTTCGGTGGATCTAGTCTTCCATTACTACTGGAGGTGTTTTCTTGTTTACATCATGCTACACTGTCTACTCCTTCAGTCATTGATCATGGTGTCTCCACTGATCGCTCAGCTCTTGTGGTTCCTAATAACTATAGTGATGGTCATCGAGGTGGACGTGGTGGTCGTGGTAATCGCGGAAGTCGTACGGGAGGTCGTACAGGTGGTCGTGGGATTCGTAGTGGATCCCGTTCCTGTACTCACTGTGGCCGTGGAGGACACAATGTTGATTTTTGTTGGGATCTACATGGAAAACCTTCTGGTACTGCTAATCAGGCTTCTTATCAGGATGATACATCTGTTGTTGCTTCCATACCTCGATCAACTCCACCAGACACTGGGTCAATTACTATTATACTAGGTCGAGAGAAGTATGCTCAGTTCCTGTCCCAGCAACAGGTTGCTCCATCTCCCTTCATTGCTACTTCTACCTGTTTATTGTCCTCCACTCGCAAACTTTGAATCATAGACTTTAGCGCCTCTGACCACATGACTGGTGCATCTGACGTTTTCTCTACTTATCAGTCAGCTACTTTCACACGTAGTGTTACTCTTGCTAATGGTACTTGTTCTAGAGTTTCAGGTCTGGGGACTACTCACTTGAGTCCTGATATGTCCTTATCTTCCGTGTTATTTGTTCTTCAATTTTCTTTTAATTTACTTTCCATTAGTAAGATTACTCGTTCTCTTAATTGTTCTATAACCTTTTACCCTTCTTATTGTGTCTTTCAGGATCTTAAGACGAAGAGGAAGATTGGTACGGGGCATGAAGCTGGTGGCCTATATTACCTTGACTTTGATTCACCTACCCGAACTCTACAGACCTCGTTGTATCCTTTTCAATGGCATTGTCGTCTTGGACATCCCTCTCTCCAAAATCTGAAGCGTCAAGTTCCAGTCTTAGTTATGTGTCGTCTTTGTCTTATGAAGCTTATCAACTTAGTAAGCATCACTGTATGTCATTTCAATCTAGAGTCAATAACCGTATGTCTAATCCATTTGAATTAGTCCATTTTGATGTATGGGATCCAATAAAGAATATTTCATCTAATAAATATCCTTATTTTGTGATATTTGTAGATGACTATTCTCGTGTGACTTGATTATTTTTTATGAAAGCTGAATTATTCTCTATATTTGAGACTTTTCGTAAGGAAATAAAAACTCAGTTTGGTTGTCGTATACGTACTTTACGTTCCGATAATGCTCGAGAATATGAATCTGATCCCTTTTCAGATTATCTTAGTAAAACTGGCATTATTCATCAGATTTCTTGTGCTTACACCTCTCCACAAAATGGTGTTGCTGAACACAAGAACTGTCATTTGTTGGAAGTCACCCGTGCCCTATTATTTCAGATAAATATTCTCCGATATTATTGGAGTGATGTTGTTCTTACTGCTTGTCATCTTATTAATTATATGCCCTACTCTGTGTTAAATGGGCAAAGTCCATTTTCTGTTCTATTTTCTGGTAAGCCCTTATTTTCTCTGACTCCTAAGATTTTTGGTTGTGTCTGTTATGTTCACAATTTAGGTCCTGGATTTGACAAACTTGACCCTCGAGCTACCAAATGTGTATTTCTTGGTTACTCTAGCACGCAGAAGGGATATCGTTGCTACAGTCCTTCTCTGCACCGATATTTTATTAGTGCAGATGTCACATTTGAAGAATCTGTTGCATACTTTCAAGCACCTTCTCAGCCTTTGGATTTAGAATTTGGATCCTCTCTTGTATCACCATCAAATATTTCGCTGTCCATTGTGTTACCATCTACTTTCCCTCTCTGTGTCTACTCTCGCCGTCCTCGCCCATCGACTGAAGTGCCCGTATCGTCTTCCTTGCCGCCTTCTGATCCTGGACCTTCAAGTAATTTAGATTCTTTACCTTTGCTCTTCGCAAAGGTACTCGTTCGTGTTATTAATCATCTCATTTCTCATTTTATTTCATATGATGCCTTGTTTCCCGTTTTACTTCCCAATTATCTACTATATCTATTCCTAAGCATTTACAAGATGCATTATCTAATCTGATCCGGGTTGGAAGAAAGCTATGAAGGAGGAGATGACTACTTTACATCATAATGGGACCTGGGATCTCGTTCCTTTACCATCTAGTAAACGAATTGTTGGCTGTCGGTGGGTGTATACTGTTAAATTTCACCCTGATGGTTCTGTAGAGCGTCTCAATGCCCGATTTGTTGCAAAAAGTTTTACTCAGACTTATGGTGTTGATTATAAGGAGACTTTTTCTCCTGTTGCCAAAATTTCCTCTGTTCGTATCTTGATTTCTCTGACTGCTAATCTTGATTGCCCCTTGTTTCAGTTAGATGTTAAGAATGTCTTCTTACATGGTAATTTGGTTGAAGAGATCTACATGGAGCAGTCACCTGGGTTTACTGCTCAGAGGAAGTATGATAATAGTGTATGTCGTATAAAAAAAATCTTTGTATGATTTAAAGCAGTCACCGAGGGCATGGATTGGTAAGTTTTCAGATGCAGTCTTAGAGTTTGGTCTTCTTCGATGTCAAACAGATCATTCTGTGTTTCATAGGCAAACAGATGTTAGGTATGTTTTATTAGTGGTCTATGTAGATGATATTGTGATTACTGAAAATGATTCTGAGGGGATTACCAAGTTAAAAATATTCTTACAAGATCGATTTATACTAAAAATTTGGGAAAACTCAAGTATTTCTTGGGTATTGAGGTGGCTCGATCTAAACAGAGTATTTGTTTATCTCAGATGAAATATATACTTGACATGCTTGAGGAAGTAAGTTTGCTGGACGGTAGACCGATTGACGTGCCTATGGATCCGAATTAGAAATTATTGATGAATGATGGTGTATTGTTTGAGAATCCGGGTCGGTATCGCAGATTAGTTAGAAAGCTTAATTATCTCACTATTACTCGATCGGATATTTCATATGCAGTCAGTTTATGAGATGTCCTAGAGTACCACATTGGGAGGCAGTTACTCGTATTCTGCGATATCTCAAACGAGCTTCTGGACTTGGACTGCTATATCGAGCTAATGGACATCTTAGAGTCGAAGGTTTCTCAGATGCTAATTAGGCTGACTCTCCTTCTGATCGGAGATCAACCACTGATTATTGTACTTTCTTAAGAGGTAATGTTGTCTCATGGAAAAGTAAGAAACAACCCGTGATAACAAGATCCAGTGCTGAGGCTGAGTATAGGGCAATGACACATACGACGAGTGAGTTGACTTGGCTACTACACTTCCTCCAGAAAATTGGGTTTCCAGTTCAACTTCCTTTACAATTATTCTGTGACAACCAGGCAGCTTTCCATATCGCTGTCAATCCTGTGTTTCATAAGAGAACCAAGCATATTGAGGTTGATTGTCACTTTCTTCGGGACAAGATAGTAGCTGAGGAAATTACAACTCCATTTATGAAATCTGAAGATCAGCTTGCAGATATGTTTACCAAAGTATTGAGTTGTACACGTCTTACAACTATTTGTTCCAAGTTTGGATTATATGATATATATAGTCCAGCTTGAGGGGGAGTGTTAAGAATAATAGGGTAGTATGTGCAAAGTGTAATTAATAAGAGGGTGTATGTGTAATTCGTATTACTGTAGGTTAACTATAAATACAAGTGATGTATGAGAACTAGGTTAAATTTTTAACCTCTCTTTTTCTCTCTAATATTGTGTTATGTTAATTCACTCAACCTAACACTGGGGAACTCCATGACTAGATGAATATGATGCTTAGATACATGGCAGCATGCAGTATACACATCTGAGTCCATGTAATAATGGAGTTCCATGAACATGAATAGAGACCAATTATGCTAAAATTTGACGGTGATAAAACAGCACTTGGCATACTTCAAAGTTGTGCTTGTTGGCCCCTGATACCAACTAGCATTTAGAAGAGCTTCTGGAGGAGCATACTCGTAAGTTTGTTCAGCTCTGAGAGACAAAAAAAACAGGTAAGAACAAGAGAAAAAAGACTTTTCTTTCAAATATAGCCAAGGTTAAGGTAGGGGATTCTAGGTTATCCATTGCAACAAAATGATGGTGAGCATAATAGTGAACCTCACACTCACACTGATAGGAGTTTATAAAAATTGCTTAGAACCCATATGCTATAGAGAACAAGCGAGACCCAGCCAGATATTGTGACAGCTCATGGAAAGATGATGAAAGTAACCTGTGTCATAATAGCCTGGTTCTGAATTTGCTTGGTTCAGGCTGCAAATCTAACGAACATTCTTTATTTCCAAGCATGCTCAATAAGAACCACAAAAATGCCAGTAGATTAAAAGTACCCAAAGAGCAACAATTTTAAGCAGCAGTGTGTTCAGAATCAAGTGACAGCCACACTTCGACCAAGACAAAGAATAACGAACACTTGAAAAACCTTTACCAGTTGGCACCAAAATGGAATATCTACAAGACTAGAAAATGCCACCTCGAAGTGAAAATTTGAGGGGCTAAATTAAAAGATGGCCCAAATTAGAGATTTTTGAAGTACAAGTTTGGATGAACAGTTGTTGTTTATTTACAAAGCATAGGCAATATAGCTTAACAAAAAATGGCCCACTGGTTCAGCGATTAAAAAAACTTGTGGCACTCCTGTTAATGCAGCAAAAAATAAAAAACAATTCAAATCAAAGGACAAACCCAAATTGAACCACACTAAAATGATAAGTGATCAACTCTTAATGAAATTCATGATAATACAAATTGAAAGAAATTTATATTTTTAAGGCACTAAACAGCTACATAAAATATCTCCATGGACAACAAAAATTGCAATAAGGACTTGCAGGAAAAGGAGATACCTAGAAGGTCCAACAGACCCATACAAATGCTTCACTGTGAACTCATCCATTGCACTGCCAAAGTCAATGATGCGCCTAACAATTGAAATCGCAACATCATTTTATCGAATACCATAAACAAAAAAAAATTTCCAATAAAATCAAAAGGCATAATAGAAATATTACAAAATCATTTCCAAATAGTTGAACAGTGGACACATCTTGAATGTGCAAATCAGCTAGACAAGTGTCTACATTAACCTCGCTGTAGCAGTTAAAACTTGAAACAAATTAGGAAACTACTAATGTTCAAGTGGTTGGAAATGGAATCCAGGGCAGATACATCAGCTTGGAATTAGGCAAAGTCATGCAATGTGCAATGTTACATGGGTTAAAAAATTTTAAGACCAAAGAACTGTTGCTTCGCAGCAAGGGGATACGAGAAAACCTTCTCTCTCACGTAAGGGTACAACTGGGGAAAGGATAGTTTGGTATGGATTCTTGAGGTGTCCCAGGCTTAGGTCCCAAATAGTCAATCATTTTTACTAGGTTTGTTTCCATCTAAGGGAATCAGTTAAAAACTAAACCAACCCCACAACCAATCCATTTTTATGGGGCCGAAAGAGAGAAATTAGGGTCAAAGTACAAAAGTTCCCTTCAGCGTGATACATACCATTGTATTGGCTTCCTCCAAATCCAAACTAACCAACATGAACTTATCTATTTAGATGTTGAAATAGATAAGAACCAACCTAGGCCAGATTAATTCTGGATATGCAATAAGCTAAACAAACCCTCTATACAGATCTAAGAGCACATTACGCAATAATGTGTTATCAAGTTAACAAAAGGTATAAACTGAAGTATAAATGTATATTGAAACTAAACAAGGTTTTCCTGGGTAAGAAAAGCTGGCTGACCCTCAAACTTATAGATAATTTGAAGATTCCAGTTTATAGTCAACAAGAAAAAAGCTTGCAACGTATAGCAATAGAATCAGACAAAAAAGAAAAAAGGAAGTCAGATACTATGGCAGTAAGATCTAATCTGAGATACATTTTAGTCGTGTAATTCTTATCTCCATTAGGGCTTCCTTCCAAGCATCTCCCAGAAATCTGATCTTCAAAGCAAATGACCATGTTCTCTTCCAAGAAAACAATATAAAAGCATTGTTAGTTGGCACATTTCTCAAAAGAACAGCAATTCCTACAGCATATTTAAAGGCATGATTAGAAGAAGAAGTTTTGAGAATAAATAACATGTTTAAGCACAAGGTATTTATCCCTAACAGTGAAACAAAACATAGTATTACTGTATTAGGCATTCACATAATGGCCAACAATGAATGCCTCTGGAGACATGAAAGATAGATTAAGTTGCAAACCATTTAACAGGTATTCAAGAACACAAGCTTATGATGCATGAGTTTCAAATCATAACTTACATATGTGACCAAAAACGATAGAGCATTACTTTGAGCTGGCATGACTAATTAGAAAACATTTTAGAACCGCACTGCTATTCAACATTTTACTAATATAATGCCATAAACAGTTTAACAACAATATTATTTTGGTAAAGCCAAGGTCAGAATTGGTCCAACTGCTGTCTTTCAGTTGAAAGATCATTTTAGTATATGACAGATAATCTTTTAACATCACAAGGATAGCTGCATCCTCACCAGGTTTGATATCCCTGTGGGTGATATTGCGGTCATGACAGGACTTGAGTGCCATCAACTGAGCAAAAGAGAAAGAAGCATATCAGGAAGTAGCACTGGTGCACTATTCAATCAATATTGGAAGGAAATTGGACTCTTGCGACATATGCTCTGAGAAAGAACCCTGGGGAAACATAATAACAAGGACACAAGTACAAAGTCCACAAAAGCTAGAGACTTGAAACTGGATGATTCTTTTATTTTTTAAGTCGTCGAAACAGAATCATATTGAAAACTCAATAATATGCATATTCCAGTGCTACAAGCTCCTTATGGCAAAGTCAGCATTACCCTTTGGAACTAAAAACCCTGTAGTTTCGAAAACTTGAGATAACTCAAACGTGCATTAAAAAGGGAAGATTTATATAAAGAAGATTAAATTTTTGAGAGATGGGCCTACCATATTCAGTGCAAATATCATTTGTTCGGAAGATGCGAGACCAATCAAAGCAAGCCAAAGTGGCAAATTACTCAGTTTTTTTCTCACAGCGTACAAGGAATGATGAGAATATAGAAGTCCATCTAAAGCTTGTGTATATCTTACACAAGACTTCAAAGTAAACAACTGAAAATTGTCTTTATTAAGATATGTTTATGGTGGCATAAAATCAATCTGAAACAGATAACTGCAGGCATACCAATTGCCAAATAAGATTCCGCATTTCTTCTTGTCCTGCTTCTGTAGTCTTCAACCAGTGCCACCATTTTGATGGATGCAACACCTGAACACGTTTTGCGTGTTCATCCCTTTCTTCATCAGCATTACTTACTACTTCTTCTGCAGTATACAGAAGCTTTGACAGGGACACCCCTTCATGACGGAACACAAGCCATATTTCATTGGATTGAGATTCAAAAGACTCGACATATCTTGCAATATGATTCAGACCTTCTTCATGGACATCTCTCAACAGCCGATTTTCTCTCAGGAATAGATGTCCAAAACTCATTGTGTTCTCAATTTCTTGAAGATCTGATTCATTTGTTTTTAACAATTCATATGACTTTGATTGTGATTCTTTCCAGAAAGAATCTGATGTTCCAGCTGATATTGAACCTTCCAGAAATGCAGAAGCATTCACAAAAATTTCACCGAAATACTTCTCCCGTAAACCGCTCAAGTAAACTGCAGTACCTCTTTCCACCTGTTAGCAGTTAATCAATAACTACTCAACTCATGCCAGAAGCCTCCACAAATTGTAAAACCTGGACCGTATATTCTTTATCCAATAAACTCTCCTTAAAACATGAATTATATCATAGACCATGTTACCATCCGAAGGTTAATTATTCATGTACCCCAAGATGATGATTACAAAAGCATACAAACAAGGTGTGTAATAAATGGGGGCACATATTGAAGCAAACAGTTACAGTTTATAAAAAAGCAGAAAATGGTCATTATAACTAGTGTATATCAGTTTAAAAAGCAAGCAGCAATATGGTGAGAAGCAGATAAATTTTCTAACTCTACAAAGAGTGAGGCTATAGTACAGTACTATATCACAATCTGGGGACATTAATTTGAAGCATCAGATATTGACAGAGAGATTGGGAGAGGGAGAGATGCAGGGAATTCATATATTGTTTTCTTCCTCATGGGACCGACCTTAATTAAGTCTGAATAATTTTTCCCATCGGAAGTGTGAAGCAGAAGAGAAGAAAATTAGAACTCTTGCCATACATGGGATGCTTCTTCCTCATGGGGAGAAAGAAGCATCAGATATTGAGAGAGATATTGGGGGAGAGGGAGAGATGCGGGGAATTCATATATGGTTTTCTTCCTCATGGGACCATCCTTAATTAAGTCTGAATAATTTTTCCCCATCAGACAATGGCAAGTGTGAAGCAGAAGAGAAGAAAATTAAAACTTTTGCCATACATGGGATGCTTCTACCCAAGAGGATGGAAGGAGGGAGGACATACTGATTGTGTGACCATCAGCTTGCAAATCAATGTCCCAAGAGAGGTTGCATCAAGAGTAAGATCAGAATAAGAATTTGATTAAACACCTAAGATAGGTTAAAGTCAACAACTGCTACCCCATTATAAAAATTTTTGCTCCAACTAATTTAGTTAACAAAATTGGTCAATATCACATGTACCTATATCATAAACGTCAAAGTTTGTAAAAAGAAGTTGATTTATCTTCATAAAACAACACACAGGCTGGCAAGCATAATCCAAATTTTTTCATCACTTCATTCATTTATTTTTTTGATAACATAGAATCGTCACAACTACACTTTGGACTTGTGGCTACAACGCAAACTCCAAATGCAGAAGTCATGATTCAAGGCCCTATGCTAGTACGAGACACAGCATTATGAGCTATTCGTAGAAGTGGTAGACCCCCTTCTCAGGTGAGTGAAATACAAATGCACAGAAAATATCACAATTGCCCTCGCCTGTAGTCACTCGCAAACATGCACATTAGATAAACCAGGCTCTCTTGCAAAAATTGTATACTAGAGGATCACTAGAAAATCAATGAGTGCTAGTCACTTCGTATCCCAACAGATTAAATGCCCACATAGAACAATGGAAAGTCAAACACCTGACTTCTTAAGGATGAACAACCGCACACAGGTTGTCAACAAGCACTGCCACCTCATTCTCAATCATATATGGCAGTTTCATCTATCTCCAAAGGAATAACAAAAGGCAGTTAAGGCACTTAAAAACAGAACAACCATAATGAAGATGGCATAAATAATAGGGCAATACCAAACTAAAGCATGTGTACCACAACAGAACAGCAGCAAACACCTACATCCCCATAGATGTCCCATTTACACCAAGTAAATGGCCTAGCTAGAGTACATCACTATAACCTCAGACAAACTGTAAACATCCCAATGGCTTTACCAACCTGTTAAAACAATTTTGTAACTTCACCCCCACATTAGTGAAGCACTACGCCATTCAATTGCAAAAGGAAATTGGGGCGGGCATCTATTGAAAGTGAATCATGCAACAAGACCCTCAAAAATTTTTGAATATGATCCATTTTCCTCACATTAAGAAAGAGAGCTGCATAGTATTTAAGAAAGTGAATTAGACTGATAGGAAGAATTTATGTATCTGTGGAACTTTCATGGTCGTCCATATTCACCTAAATATGCGTATTGGGAAGAATTCCCCAGTTGAGTTGAAGTGATGAATCACCTAGTAATGCATCTTGCCACAAGAACTTAGTAAATGATATTGAGAGGTATGATTTCTGAGCATGTGCAAAGAGTTCAGTGTCGACACGGAAGCTGGCTTTTTGACACTATATCATCGAAAAGATCCAAGACTCGGTGTTACAGCCATACTTAAAATTTTTCTTGTCTGTGATCTACAATGTATGGACACGAACACAAAGGTCAAAACAAAGTATATCCAAAATGGAAAGCTTCAAACCAAGATTCGAGAAGGTAGGCAGACATTCAAAATAAAGATTGAAGGAAACATATATACATCAATGAGTACTTTTATTCCAAACCAAACCAAGTTTCTCTAGTTTCCATGTTCTTCATACACTTTTTACACAGGTAGATGTTTCAATTTCTTTTTTCTTAACAATAGGCAATATTTGAAGTCAAATTGAAGCAAGAAGTGAATTTGTAGAGATGGAAGGAGGGGCATCTAAATTAAAACAATGTGACATACTTGGAGAATATAATAAATGAAGAGTCAAATGAATTTCTCTTGAAATATCATAACATCCAAAGCTCGTTGTTCAATCAAAGACTCAATAAGCCTTGCAAACCTAAAGGACTCAAAGCAGCAATCTCACCGCCAGAAACAAGTACATACATATCTCTCATAAGTCTCAACTCTCTCTCTCTCTCTCTCTCTCTCTCTCTCTCACACACACACACCCCTCCTCTCAAGTTTTTTCATCATCCAGGAAAACTTTGATCTTCCTTGAATTTGATTGATCTTCCCCAACATAGACACTTACTAGGAGAGAAGGAAGGGAATAATACATTTAAATCATGTTCAACACATCTCATTATTGGCGTCCTATAAGACATTGGAAAACATAGTCACTAGATCATGCATTAGAAGATTGAGATCAGATCAAATACCATCTCATTGTACAAATGGAATAACGCACATTAACCCCTCACCTTAATTCTAATTAGAAGTGCAATGTAGGAATTAAATCCTTACAACACACTGGATGATGGTAAAAGCTTTGAACAAATAACCAGGCAGCAAAAGGAGATATAAGAGAAACTACACAGATTAAATGTTAATTAATTGAATTACCATTATACGCTTCAAAATGAACATGTGGTCATCAGGAGCGCCAGCATTAATATCATAAGCAGATGAGTTTGTTGGAAAATTTTCATCACATACGCCAAGATGCATAGTGTTAGATGTAAGATCTTTTTCTTTCATACTCAAAGTCGAAGCATTGCTGCCTCGGGAACAATTCCAATGAAAAGCCAGCCAAACTTCACCATATGAACCACGATCAAACCTCTTCTTTAGTATGTACCTAATAACCAGTAAGGAAACACTTTACACAAGAGAAGACAAAGCATCGAAAGGTGCCAACTGTGTGAACGAAGTAGCAAACTTCTACAAAGCAGACGTAGGATCAAGTTACATCAACCAGTAACTGACTTCTAAAAAACACAACCTAGGATAAAAGTACATAACCAGCAGCTAATAAATGGATACAATGCTGGAAGACAAAAGCACATCTGGAAAATCATCGCTCACATAGATCAACTCAAACAAAACTTTTATCATTGCACACACATCATGAAAGCATAAACAGATATTGCTTATCCTCGATATCCCCAATCAGTCTTGCAAACAAGGCATGTACCAGGTTGTAGACAGTCCATATTGGTCAAGTGTTATGTGGGAGGTAATTGTCTGATCACAAGCAATGGAAGAACTACTGCTTAAATCCACCAAGGCAAAAAAAATATTGCAGGCCCTTGCTGCAAGTGCATTAGCACTTTTCTTGGCTGCCAGCCCAATGAAGGATCCAACTTTGAAAGTTGACAATCCATCAAAGTAGGAGTGAGATGTTGGTAGAGGCATTGTTCACTAGATTCTATCAAGTGGAACCCTATTATGGCATCATTATCAAGAAAATAATGCAATAGCAAGTCATCAAATTTTTTTCCTTCATAAGTAGCCTTCTAGCAAATCTGCATGTAGGTTATACTATTATATCCCATCCACTCCTTAGATTTTGCCCTTCTTTAACCTGTCACAGAATTAATTTGGTGACAAGTAAATTACACCTGCATACAAGGATCGAAATATCGTTTTTGAGTATTGTTTTGGTCAGCTCAAAAACGAAAACATTTCGAAAACGCAATAGAAACGCAGAAAAATATACAAACACGTGAAAACACAAATACAATATATTTATTTATAAAGATAAGCTTAATAATTGATTAATTGAGGATATTTATTGGGTTAACATCCATTTATACAAGATAACATCAAGTTGGAGAGAAAAAAATACCATTACATTATCAAACATATTATTCATACAATATTCATTCTATAAATTATGAAATGTATAACACTTTTGAATTAAAATGTTATCAAATTAATAATACTAATTTAATATAATACTAATTTACTAATTAATAATACTAACACTTTCATTCTTGCAATATGTTATTATAATACTACTTTATTAATTTAAATTGTGTCACCAAATTAATGAATAATATTATTTCAATTGAATATTAAAATCATTACATAAACCCCATAGTTGTTAAATCGAGATTTGTATCGTGAATCAGAATCTTAAATTTGTGAATCTTGAATCGTATCGAATTGTAAATTGTAAGATTAGAAACAAAATTCAAACAAAGATAAAAAATAACATCTATATAGTTAAAATAGGCAAGGTATTGAATTTTGAGCATTATTACATTGTAAAAATAATTAATTGACATAATCACATCGTCTAAATGAAAAGACACTAGCTTTTATGGATAGAAAATGTGGTTCAAGTCCCACCGTGATTGATTTTTATATATTATTTGCAACTTGCAAGCCAACTAAAATATAAAATAAAGCATCTATCAAAAGAATATGTATCTATCATTATAATTATACTTCAATCAAAAGTCAAGTTATGGGCATATGGTCCCAAAAAATGAAAGGTACATTGAATGACCAAAAAAAGCCAAGTTCTAAGACTCATCAAAAAAATAGAAATAGTCAATTTCTTCAATCATCATCATCTCCAAGGTCACGATCTTCATCATCATCTTCTTCTTCTACCTCAACCATCTCTGCTTCCTCTTCCTCTTCCGTTTCCTTATCATTAACCAGTTCAATACCATCATCTTCATCATCATCTATCTCAACATCTTTAGCTTTATTTTAATAGCATTCAAGTTCTTTGGTCCTATAAATAATAATTGATAAATGACTAAATGGCAAACGATATATAAATATAATAAATAATAAAGATTAAAGAATACATCTTTTTCTGTTCTTGCTAGAAGATACACTTTCATCAAGTTGAAAACATTCATGAACATCCATCAATGAGTTGTCTTCTGGTAGACATGGATGTCCACTCTCAATAATCCACTCATCATCAAATTCCCTATCCGATAGACAAATTGGATCATATGTCTCATTCTTTTCTTGCCTTTTCAATTGTCTCATTTCAAGATGAATGTTGTAATTCACATAAACGAGAGCATTTAATCTTTGGTGTTCCAAGCGATTCCTTTTTTTAGAATATACATGATCAAAAACACTCCAATTTCTCTCACATCCCGTAACACTACACGTGAGACTTAATACCCTTATAGCTAGTCTTTGAAGTTCTTTGCAATCATCTCCATAACTTTCCCACCACAAAGCTATAAAAATAGAGATTTAAACTAAAAAATTTAAACAAGATACCTATATAGGTTAGTTTTTATATAATGTAAAAGTAAAAACATGTTCTTTAATTCTTACCGGGTTATTTCTTGTCTCTTGTTAACACGGTCATGCTCATAGAAAATAAACCGTCAGCCCTCTTGAATTTCTCTAGTTGCTTGTCAAGAAAGATTCTTGTTTTGATATCCAGGTACATTCTCTCAATTGTCCTATACAAGCCAACTTTTACTTCCTTGTCGGCATTAAAAATTTGGATCATAGTAGAACCTAAAAAGAAGTTACTTAGGATTAAAATTTGGATCACAATTTATATATGAGTAAATGTAATTAGGAAGTGTTTTTGTGAACTTACTTGGGATTAAGAAAGTACCCCACTGCATGAAGTGGTCTATTAAGTTGCATGTTCCACCTATCATCAACAATTTTCCAAATTTTTTCATACATTTTTTTCTCTTCTTTGAAATTTTGGGCAATTTGTTCCTTAACCCTATCCAATAACCTACCAGCAGCTACATGAGCCAAAGCACTATCCGTCACCACTTGAACCACATTCACCTCTCCAATCTCCTCTACCATTGAGTCAAGTAACTCAAACAATTTATTAGCATCCTTTATAATCCCAGAAGTATCCACCAATTTAAAAAATCTCGTTCCACTAGGGCTATTAACAAGAAAGTTTGTCAATGAATGTTGTTTCCCATCAGTCCACCCATCTAACATCAAAATACACCCACTTTTATTCCATTCCATTCTATATTTATTCAAACTCACCTTAATATTTTCTATTTCTTTCTTCAAACAAGTAACTTTAACCTCATAATAGTTAGAAAATTTTAATCCCTTGTCATACTCACCAACCGATTTCATCATTTTATCAAACAATAGACTTTTAACTAAATTGAAAGCTAGTGCATGTCCATAGAAGAAATGACATATGTTTTGAATCACCGGTTTTCTTTTCTCCACCAATTCATTTAATGTTTGTTGTCTTCCTCTAGCACCTTTCCCCTTGCCTTTACTCACAAAAGCATCCATGGTTCAGGTCCCCTTTCAACATCCTCTACGAAGCATTCATTAAGATCCTCATTTTTTACATTTGGAGGTATTTTTGTGTAACATCTGGTGGACGTTGGGTACATGGTACTAACAAGTCTCCGCAAAATGATGTTTACTCACACCAACTCATTTATCAAGGCCACAATAATTACACTTCAAGTGCATTCTATTATTACCCACACAAGAACAATGATCTCATGTCGGATCTTCATTCTTTTTTTGCGTCACTTTTATATTCTTCTTTACCATTTTCAACTTCAAGTCTTCAATAACAACTAAAAAGAAAAAAAAAACAATAAAGCATATAGTTTAAAAATTAACAATGCAAATTTTGAAGTTTGAGTATCATTTGAAACTACAAAGACGAAAAAATCCTCTACCTACGGGCCACAACAACAAAAAAATTCTCTAAGAAACTACAACAATGAAAAAACAGAGCAACGTTAATTATAAAAACAGTGCAATAAAATAGAATATCATTTGAAGTTTGAAACCCACATTCATACAGTTTATACTTTATATATAGAAACCCACATTCATAACTAAATAATCCTCTACCTGCAGGCCACAACAACGAAAAAAAAAAATAGAAAATAAGAAATTACAGTAAAACATTTAAAAAACAGAATATTGCTATTGTGAAAAACCAGAGCATCATTTGAAGTTTGAAACCCACATTCATATTGTTTATATACAGAAACCCACATTCATATTGTTTATATACAGAAACTCACATTCATAACTGCAAAATCCTCCACCCATAGGCCACAACAATAGGGAAAAAAAACACATAAACTAAGAAACTATAACAACAGAAATTAAAGCATAATTTATGTAAAAATAGAGTAATATTTGAAAAAGATGTAAGGTTTGCTGTTACTGTTTGGGTGTGGGTAAGAAGAAGAAGAAGAAGAAGAAGAAGGGGAAGAGACGTACCTCAGAGGTCGATGAAGCTTCAATCGTGGTGCGTGGATCTCCTTCAACAAAAAACGTGAGGCAAAGTGAGAAAGAGACTGAGGGAATGGTTATTTATTAGGGCATGTGTCCTTGCAAACAAACGACATCATTTGACTGCCTATGCAGTCAAAACGACGTCGTTTTGATGCATATGTGGGTTTAAAAAAAAAAAGAGAACGAATCAAAAGATAGTTTCGGTTCGGTTTGGTTCGGTTCATACGATTCGTGCAATTCTCTTCCAATTCCAGACCCAAAACGATTCAACCATAAGATTCAAATCGGCCACCCCATGAATTGAACCGACTCGTACGATCCGACTTGTGAATTAGACGATTTTAACAACTATGACATAAACAATTTTTACACACATAAATACTTAATTCTAGATATTTAACAAATAAGATACATAGTATAAAATAACATGCTGCTATTTAATATACCAATTTAATAAATAATAATAACATACAAGAATAATTACAAAAAGGAAAAAATTTGTGGAAAATATAACAAGGGTTCTTTATAAATTAGTTATACTTATTTATAATTATAATGTGGGGAATTAAATTAAATTAGTTATACTTATCGGTCAGGGAAAAAAAAAAGATAAAAGAAAAAAAGTATATAAAAAGTGAGAGAGACGCTAAGCGTCAGTCTTAACTTTTAACGACAGACGGAGAGAGATAAGATAAGAGAGGATAACACACGACACCACAGTCGTCAACGATTGACTACACCGGAACAAGAGAGAGAAGAAGATCTGCTCATAGCGAAGTCAATGATGAAGACCCGAGTCCCAACAAAGAAGAGCTATGCCCTAGATCTGCTATATGGCTTGTGGGAGTGGAACATACCTGGCTTGTGAGTGTGGAGTGAGGCCTAGATTTGCTCAGATCTGAACTCAGGGAGGAAAGTCACTGAACTGTTCTCCTTTAATTTCTTCTAGGTGTGTTTTGTGTGACTATATCTGTGTCTCTCTCTCTCTTCGATTTCTTCTGGGTAGGCCGTAAAATTGTGCTTTTATGGACCCGTGATTTATGAGAAAATCTAAGTCTTCTCTCTATTTTTCCCTTCTTTTTTTTTTTTTTTTTTTTTTTTGCTTAGAGGACCTGGACATATGATTTCTGAGAAGAATCTCATATTTTTATCGGGTTAAACTTTGGCCTGTAGTGCAGAATCAACCCATTGTTTTAGTCGAAACGGCACTGTTTCAACCAAAATAGTGATGATTCGCTCGAAACATTGGAATTTTGGGATTCCACCCAGCTTCGTGTTAATGTGTTGAAAATCCAAAATGTTTTGGACGTTTCAACACGAGATTTAGATCCATGCCTGCATGATTCACCTTCTCGTGAATCAATAACCAGGTTTTGCAACTGATCTACGGTTGATAAGAGAGAGAATGTTCTCCTCAATAAAATGGTGGAAATCACAAAATGAAATATAGACTTAAATCACATGATCCACTCAATAAAACCCATCAGTTTGTAGCCAGAATGCCCCTTTGTCAGTCAACTTGACAAATTTCATCAGTAGTTGTGTTAACCCACAATGAAAAGATGCAGTCTGCAGTTCAACATACCATCAAAACAAAATAATTCATCAAGAAGGGGATGCCGTAAGAACTATGTGAAAAAGCATCCAAACAAGCAACTTGTTGACAAAGCCTTAAAGAACCTTCTTTCATTTAATAGTCTGGAAAGGCAATGAGTCATGACGAACAACAAATAACTAAAGAAAAGATAACTACCTCAAGTCTGGTGTTGCATGCTCACTTGATTCATGAGTTGAACCAGTACTATGGATAGGGATGGATTCAAGCAAACCCAGGAATCTAGCAAAGCCTTCGGGATTTATGCATTTATCTCTGTCCCCATCACCAGTCATCCCAAAATGCAGGCACATGTGCTGATCATTATACAAATTTAATGGTGCACCTACAACAGTAAAAGAAAGTTGGAATTGGCAGTATACACACATTTGTTAGCTACAGCTACAACAGTTCTTACTACAATGACATGAGGGGGCATGCGTGTTAATTTTTTGGATTGCAGAAAGAAAGTTGACAGCATAGCAATATCAACATCATACAGAAATTGAAAGGGAAAAAAGAACTTCCATTCGGAGTGACAAGAACAACCATAAAATGCAAGAGAACAATTGTAATTCCAAAACACTAAAAGCAATCACAGGAGCCAACTTACATACCAGAAGGGTGATCAAGGGCCATGGGTAACGCCGGTGACATGTCATATGTATTCTCTTGATCATCTTTTTGAACCCAGAATGAGTAATCGTCATTTTCATTGAGGTTCTCAGAGAGATAAAAACATCCAAAACCACTGTGTTTTCCTTCAACCTATAACAGAAGTGAAAACCACAACATCATTCAAGCAACCCTTTAAAGTGGGAGCAAATCAACTAAATCCACATCCATTAATACAGAATGGACAAAGTCTACTGTGAAATGTAGAAAACAGCTAACATTCAGTACTCAAATACTGAGGAAAAAATCGTAACCTTGGGCGTTACTGTATGGGGATGAAGGCTAAACTTGTATTAACCATTTCTATAGCAAGAACAGTGTGAATATATATCAGGTACAAAATACAATCAACTACGAGATTAAGGAGGCAAACCAAAAGCCGTAAAGAATACAGAGCGTGAAGTTCAATTAGATACATTTTGGAGACAAGCTTTAGACAGAAATGAGGGATGATCCATCCATCATATGGTTGAGCCGGATAACCAGTCCAACTTCACATTGGATGGTTTTGTGTTTTGATAATCCCTAGATTGTTGACTGCGATTTCTGTATTTATTATCATCTTCCTTGCTGCTCAGTAGGTCGAGGCTGAGAATATAACATCCATTATTTATTATAAGAGCATCTTTAATCCTTGCACTTTTTTAAATTCAAATTTAAATTTGGGTAAAAAACTAACAAAAATCTTCTCCAATGTTAGACTCGTAACCGTATCAAATGAAGTGAGATTCTTTTTTTTTACTCAAATCAAGAAAGACTCAAATCCATAACCAAGTCTTTAATAGTGATATTACATCATCCTTTAAAGATCCAATAGTCATATTTTACCCTTATTTAAATTTAGATTTCTCTTTCTTTAAGTTTGAGTTTCTCTAATTGAGAGATTTATACCAAATCAAGCTTTTTACCTTTTTTATTTAACTCAAATTTGGGTAAGGGTTTCAATTTCCATTGGAGATAGTCTAAGCACGTACTCTATAGTTCCTACATGTTGTGTATCATTATCCCTTATTTTCCACCCCACACTGACACTAATATCTTCCGTCGACAAATTGCATCACAAGTACCAAATACTCATTGATCCCAACAGTACCTTGATTATTACCATAAGTTGAAAGAAAAAGCATTTTTTTGGTTACAAATTGGTACCTAGGGTTAACCTGCCTCAAGTCCTTGTTATCTTTAATCAACAAATTCTACCCATTACAAAAAAATAAAAATATAGATAAAACCTCACCCTCGCATCCAAGTACAAAACATTGACATAATCTTCAGTTCGATAAAAATGTATCCTTCTGAGTGTGGGAATCATACAAATATCAAGGTTTTGAACTAGCATCAAAACCTCAATTTGACAGATAGTAACAATCCAATCCCCTTACAAAAAAAATGTAAGAGAAAAGTTAAACTGCTCGCCTTTAGTCTTACCAATAACCTGTCGAACTTGGCAACAACTGGATGAGCATAGTCCAATTCTCTTAGTTCTGAAGTTTTGTCATCATCTAAACATAATAAAGTAGATAGAAGTAAAATCATATCAAAAAAAAAATTAATACGGAGCACAAAAAAGCTCAGCATGAGAAACAGAGCTTAAAACCAAAGTAAACAGAAAAGTAGAACACAGGATGACAAAAAGAGACATGAGAGGATAGATCACGAAACAATATAAGTAGTATACGTGGCAATTGATCATCACAACCTTAACAGCTAAATATCAACAGATTTGATGCAAATCATAGCACAACTTCAAGGGATCTAATTTAAGTCTCAGTTGGGCCGGTTTCAACAGCACGTGTAAGGAAGTTTAAAGATGTACTCAACGGACTGATTCAAGAGACATAGACTCAAGCAAGTTCATGGAGGCCCATTGAGCATAATCCATGTGAGCGACAAAGATTCATCAATATAATTCAAGTTCTAGAAGAATCAGGCCAAGATTAAGCTTTAATTGGCATGTTTAAGAATACTTTTCATTTTGGGCCTAATTGTAAGACTTGCATGCCATTTACTTTCCTTTTTCTATTTTAGGCAAGTAAAAGTTTTAGTCTTTAGTTATTCCTATTTGGGTTAGGATTGTCAAAATATAAACTCTTATTAGTATTTATTTCCTTAGTAGATTAGGATTTGTTTTGTTAGCAGATTAGAAATTTTCCTTGTAATGACCAGCCTTATAAATAGGCGTTTAATCAATGAAAAAAAACAGATCATTATTCAGTAAAATTTGACAGTGTTTTCTCTACGGTTCTTTGAAGAACTAAACAAACTCATCAGAATTTTTCGTGGCGTTCACCAGCGACTTATCAAATGGGTTTTCACCACTGTTTGTGGCGTCTTCCTTATACCAAGGTTCTTGTTTCACATCAAACAACGGGTTGAGGTCATATATACCAAGGTTCTTGTTTGTCGTAAACAACGGGTAGAGGTCCATCATTCAATTCCGATCATAGAACGATCTTGGGTTCCTTTTCGTTGTTGGATCTTGTTATGTTTGGCGTATTTCACATCATTTGGTATCAGAGCAAATGTTCAAGTTCAGCAATCATGTCTCACAACAGTGCTAAGAATATGGCCGAAGAGGCTACGTAACTGGCTGATCCGAAATTTTTTATGGAGGCCATGAGTGAGATGAGGTATATGATGAAGTTGGAACTGGAGCAGGTTCATGTACAGATAGATCAAATGAAGAACACACGTAAGAAGCAACCACAAAACGTCCCTGATGTGCGTAAAAAGGAAAGAATTCAACCAAGGGAAATGAGGGTTGAAGATGAAGAGCCTTATGGGGCTGGTTTTGATGAAGAAGATGATCGGAATTATGTTGTTAGTAATACGAGACATGGAGGGCAGTTTAGAGAATTTAGGAATCGAGAAGATAACAACTTGGGTGGTATTAAGATGAAGATTTTATCTTTTCAAGGTAGATTCGATCCTGAAGCATACCATGGAGTTCGTATTTGACGGCCACAACTATTCTGAAGCAAAGAAAATAAAATTAGCGGAGATTGAGTTTTTTGACTATGCTATTGCTTGGTGGGATCAACTTGTTATAAACTAGAGGCGAAACAGAGAACGGCCGATAGAGACATGGGAGGAGATGAAAACAGTAATGAGAAAGCGGTTCGTTCCAAGTTTACCACTATCGAAAATTGTACAAAAAGCTACAAGGTCTTAGACTGGGAAGCCCGAGCATGGAGGATTACTACAAAGAAATGAAGATTACTATGATCCGAGCTAATGTAGAGGAAGATCGAGAGGCTACAATGGCTAGGTTTTTACTTGGATTAAACCGGAAAATCCAAGATAAGGTAGAGATGCAGCATTATGTGGAGTTGGAAGATATGGTGCACATGGCCATCAAAGTGGAACAACAACTCAAAAGGGGGGTGGGTCACATGCAGCTCATAACTCTAACTCTACCTCTTGAAAACCGAGTTATACCAAGCAAACGGATAAGTCACAAACGTCCAAATCCGAGCCCAAGTCCATGAACACCAGCCATGTTCCTCAAGGTAAAACTGACACTTCTACCTCTAGAAATCGTGACATTAAATGTTTTTAATGTCAAGGCAGTGGACACATAGCAAGTCAATGTCCAAACAAGCAAGTCAAGGTGTTGCAAGACAATGGTGAAATTATGACCGACAATGAAGATTCCGACACCGATGACATGCCACCATTGGAGGACGTTTCCGAGAAGAAATATTTAGCCCCTGATGCATTGACATTGGTGGCGAGGAGAGCATTGAGCGTGCATGCAAAAGAGATTGATGAAGTGCACCAAGAGAACATCTTTCACACTAGATGCTACATCAAAGACAAGGTATGTAGTGTGATTATTGATGGTGGTAGTTGTACTAATGTTGCAAGCACAATTATGGTGGAGAAATTGGGACTATCTGTGTTGAAACACCCTAAACCGCACAAGTTACAATGGTTAAATGATAATGGTGAGATAAGGGTGAACAAGCAAGTGTTAGCTGTATTTCAAATCGGTAAGTATGAAGATGAGGTGTTGTGTGATGTAATACCGATGCAAGTGGGACACTTATTGCTAGAGTGTCTATGGCAGTTTGATAGGCATGCGAAACATGATGGCTTTACGAACAAATACTCCTTTGTGCTTAATCAACGATCGATCACTCTTTTATCATTGACACCGCAGCATGTATATGAGGATCCAGTGAGATTGCAAAAAGAGAGTGAACAAAAGAAAAAGAGTAAAAATCAAAGAGAGGCTAAGAAAAATGAGAGAGCAAAGGAAAACAAAATTCGGCCATTGAGAGAAAATCATAGAGAAAACAAAAAAAATTCTATGCAAAAGTGAGTGATATTAAGCGAGCAATGTTTTCAAATCAATTGATGATTGTACTTTTGTACAAAGAGGCACTTTTAAACACTAATGAACTTGACCTTGCTTTGCCTAGTTCTATTGTATCTCTTTTGCAGAAGTATGAAGATGTCTTTTCCGAGGAAACACCACTTGAGTTACCTCCAATCTGAGGGATTGAACATCAAATTGATTTTCTTCCCGGTGTGACAATTCCAAACTGACCAGCCTATAGGAGCAATCCCAAGGAGACAAAGGAGCTTCAACTGCAGGTAAGAGAGTTGTTGGAGAAACGACACGTGAGGGAGAGCATGAGCCCATGCACAGTTCCGGTTTTACTTGTACCTAAGAAGAATGGGACGTGGAGAATGTGCGTTGAGTGTCGGGCCATCAACAACATAACGATTCATGAGAAAACAAGACCCAACACTGAGTGAAGAACGGAGCAGTATGCAAAACAAGCCAGCAAGAGGCATCACAAGCTAATTTTTGAACCTGGAAATTGGGTTTGGCAGCACATGAGAAAAGAGAGATTTTCGGTGCAAAGACGTTCCAAATTGCTTCCAAGAGGAGATGGTGATGATTTGTGAGCAAATCCTTTTCAAAAGGAGGGGAATGATGCAAATCATAACACAACTTCAACGAATCTAATTCAAGTCCTAATTGGGCCGGTTACAAGAGCACGAGCAAGAAAGTTTAAAGATGTACTCAATGGACTGATTCAAGAGGCATGGACTCAAACAAGTTTTTAGAGGCCCATTGAGCATGATCTACATGAGCAACAAAGATTCATCAATATGATTCAAATTCTAGAAGAATCGGCCCAAGACTAAGCTTAAATTGGCATGTTTAAGAATACTTTTTATTTTGGGCCTGATTGTAAGGCTTGCATGCCATTTACTTTCCTTTTTCTATTTTAGGCAAGTAAGAGTTTTAGTCTTTAGTTATTCCTATTTGGGTTTGGATTGTCAAAATATAAACTCCTATTAGGATTTGTTTCCTTAGTAGATTAGAATTTGTTTCCTTAGTAGATTAGGATTTGTTTCGTTAGCAGATTAGGAATTTTCCTTGTAATGGCCAGCCTTATAAATAGGCATTTAATCAATAAAAAAAAGGCAGATCATTATTCATTAAAATTTGAGTGTTTTCTCCGTGGTTCTTTGAAGAACTCAACGAACTTATCGGAATTTTCCGTGACGTTCACTGGCGACTTATCAAACGGGTTTCCACCACCGTTTGTGACGTCTTCCTTATACCAAGGTTCTTGTTTCACATCAAACGGGTTGAGGTCATGTATACCAAGATTCTTGTTTGTCGTAAATAACGGGTCGAGGTCTATCATTCAATTCAGATCGTAGAACGATCTTAGATTCATTTTCGTTGTTGGATCTCGGTATATTTGGCGAGTTTCACATCAAGATTCCACAATGTCGCACTTACGACTGACACATGACATCAATATAAAGTTCATAAGTAATATTCTTTAAGTAAAGTCAAAAGCTAGGAAGCATTGATACGGACACGGGTGTCATATCCGATACAATACGGACACGGAAATACAACAAAGTTAAAAAATATGGAACACGGGTACGGCACGGAAACAGCTACTAAAATCATATAATATATTTTTTAAATAATAATAGTTGTAATATATTAAAAATAAATCATATATTATAAAAACATTAATAATAAGACCTAGCAAATATTATTTTTTTGATTAAAATTGAAATAGATCAAATTAAATATCTAATATTTTCATCAAACATCATTACATCTATTTACATTCATAGTATATAAGTTACATAACAAAAACTATATAAAAAAAATTAAATTTTTAATAGTTAAAAGCTATTTTTTTAATAAAAAAATTCTTGGGCGTGTCTTGGACGTATCCTGGCCGTGTCCGACTGAGTTCACTATTCAGGACACTTCTAGCCATGTCCGACACGTGTCCAATACCGTCACGGCACTCCCGTGGGAAGTATCCATGCTTCCTAGGTCGAAAGTAATAGTTTACGTGGCCAAGACATGAGCAAAGGAGATCCAAGCCCGTGTCAAGTATGCGTGACGAGCACAAATTCAATGCCTATACAAAAAAAGGCCATTGTTTGGACATGGGCAAGTCCAAAACTTAGAAGCCATAATTTTCAATCGTCCATTGACAGCGACATAATTAGGAAAAACAAAAAGGCATTCAAAGTGCAAGGGTAGGTGGTAGGAAAATTGAGTACTTTTAAGCCATCGACTAGGTGGTGGTCGTTGTATGATTAAAAATCACAAGAGAACATCAAAAAGAAGGGGAAAGGGGGAGCTCGAAATTTCAGTTCAACCATGACACATTCGGTCTCTAATACAGCATTTTACTTGTGTATACAGATTACAGAGAGATTGAAACAGGTTTTACCATGTTTTTACCTCATTTGTACTTAGCATTTCAGTTCCGACATGTTCAAGACCAGCCAAGTTTTGGTTCCATTTGGTACTCATTGACATAAAATAGAAAGTATAAGAAAAGTGAAACTCACCCGATTGTTCATAGATGTACTTCTGAAGTCCAAAACCTAAGCAATCAAATTTCCTGCTTCCATCAAACCTTTCCTCCAGAAACATTTGAGAAATACCAGTTGATCTAAATGGAATCACAACAGCTGCAATATTATCCACACTACCCTTTTCAAATGCAGCATTAACTATACAATCAGCTAATGAGTATGAGCACGAGGAAGGGAGTTCTAATCTCATGGGCCTCTGACTATGTACTTCCCATAATAAATCACAAACACCCTGTGGACTCAGCTTTTCAAAAACGCCATCAGATGCAGCCACCAAATAGCTGTCATTGGCAGTCAGAGGTTGCCAATCTGTCACCTCAGGAACAGATGTAACGCCATAACTGGTAACACATTGACAGACTGAATTAGAAGTTCCTTTTTCAGTTCGCATATAATGAACTTTTATTTCTCTTATGGATATTAGAAGTTCAAAACAAAAGGCTGTCGAATAACAAAGGGGTGAAAACAGCAAGTCTAGTCATGAGCCTCACCTTTTAAAGGGAACATCACCAATAGCTCTAGAAACAGCCAACTGACCATTAACGCGAGATACACCACCCCGCTCAAAAACATGACCTCCAGCAGATTCCACTCGGGACCTTTCATCATCTCTATCTGGATGGTGATCTCTTGTCAGTTCCTTCGCAGAAAAATAAACCCACCCATCAGAAGCTGCCATTTTAAAGCTGTCGAAATCTTTTATGGGTGACATTACACCTTCACTTCTTCTCTGCCTGTATAACCTTAATAAAGTAGCTGCACTTTGCAAGACCATGAACAATCAATCTTTGACCATGTTCTTAGAACACAACGACAATCTTGTCATCACCAATGTATTTAAACAGAAACAATGTGATGCATAGAACAGCACACAACAAGCCATTGCCCACTAACCCAATTATTCTATTGTATAAACATGTGTATTACACAAAACATGATCCTTCTCACCTTTAGCTTCAAGAGGAGACTGAAATACTTCAGAGCACAAAAATGCCTTTGAGTCTCCAAGATTGGCAACTAAAATTTGGCCATCTGCCATAAGTATAACTGTAGCCGTAGAACCTGAATTGAAATTGTTTCTAGATGCTTCCTTCAAAGTTCAATGAAGTTAATGTCAACATAAAAACAAAAAGAAGGATATAATATTGATCAAATCTCTGCCTTTTTTTGGCAGTGGAGGAGACTGGATGTCACCTTAGAAAATACTGCATCAATATCTTGGATTGCTCTCAGTAATGCTTCCTTCAATATTTGCAAGTGCAGAGATCCATCTAAGATTGCCGAGAACGTCAGCTTCAACCTGTGAAACAGTGAAAGCACTGATGAGAAATTGAAATCACAAATCACATGATAAAATACAAGATCTTAGGGTTGTAGAAGGTTTAATATGTCTACTGAACACTAATTCAAGTATTGCACACCACAAGCCAGACTAACTGACCATAAATAGATAAGAGAGGCATGCTCCCATCAAAGCAAACATTTAATACCTTGCATATTCAATTTCCATCAAGCACAATGATAATTGGAACAATAAGCTAAAATCACTAATGTTGACTGTTGAATCAGAACACTTATGGCAATGATGAGTTAAACTAATTTTACATGTCAAAACACTTCTACATCGTACCATGTAAACGCCAGGATATGCATTCCTCCAATCTGCTAAAAATATATTTTCCATCAGTTTATGTGCATATGTTGTTGTTAAGAGGGGTAATTTCTTAAAAGTTCACCATCATTGATCATCATACAACATCCATTCATCCAATGTTCTAAAAATATATATTTTCCCGTCAATTTATAGGTGTAAATGTTGGTATTGGGTGAGGGCATACAGCATAAATCATTAACAAACAAAATTTTTATCTCAAGTCCATACAATATTACACCAAGTCATGTGCAGAATCAACAACAGATAATTCTCTATATACATATGTGCTAAAATGTTCCCGCATGTGATATTCGGAGAGAGAATAAGGAGAGACAAAGTCACCTGCCCACATCCAACACATGCCAGTTCAGTTCCTTTTGAAAGCCACAATCTTGTTCTCCTTTACTTGGCAACCTTACCATGGATTTCCTCGACAAAATTAAAAATGTTGCATCAAGAAGAAAATACGTGTGCAGCATGAAATACTCAAATAGTAGCTTGGAAGCCATTTCACTCGCTTCAGCACCATTATGACCATCAAAAACTGCCACAATATCAACTGTGACCTCGGTAATTCCTGTAGGACCTACAGTAATATAATATGTCATATATTAAAGCCACCATTTGCAGAAGCAAATTATCCCATATGCAACCTGATCCTATACTTCACCCAGTTAAAAAACTAACTAAATTCCCAGCAAAGTTTATTCGCTTTATTTAAAATACTAAATTCGCATTTGGAGTTTAAAGACCCAATAAAATGGGCATAAATTCTTCTGTTTCAGAACTTAAAAGTTAAAACACATAGTATTAAGTCTACAATTGTGTCCACCAATTTCATATTAACTAACGGATTAGTTTCCATGCATTAGATGATTCTTGTGTCTCCTATGTCCTTCCATGTTGTCTTACCTACCTCATTTTAGCATAGATAGATAAATGGAAATCTTTCCATTCTTTTCTTTCCCGGGTGAATGCGTTTCAGACACAATACCAGCACCTCCATCCAACCAAACTTTATACCGTAAAAGAACCAGTCTAACTGATAGCTAATAATATTCCCATCTTTAGTATATAACCATGACAATATACCTACAATTGTAAAAGCACCACCCTTACAGCTATGTTCTTAATTACACCAATGTGCTGCTTTTTTCTTTCCCAATTCCTGTTCATTTAGGGAGACAACTGTCACCATGATGTCAAATATTCTGCCAGTAACTAAGAACAAGTCAAGAAAAGAGGAGAAACTAATACAGAAAAATCATGATGCAGTTTATTCTTACGATTGTTTGTGATCTTTTTTCTCTTTTATGAATGAGAGAATTACTTTCCAAACTTGTTTCTCCTTAACCCTAGTGCATAAAAATATTTGTGTGCTTCATGATGAAAGGATTAAGCTTACCGGGAAAAGGAATGCGTATATCAAGAGCGCAGAAAGTGCGGTCCTCCTGAGACTTGCGTCGCCCCTGGTGCATGGCCCACTGACACCTCGCCATCGGCAACCTGGACCGCAATTTGGAGGCGTAATTTGATAGCCTCCAACGAGGGCATTTTGGGGATTGAAAGACCGCGGGAGCACCGCCTTCTTTGTACACCGTCAAGCAGGTTGAGGATTCTCCATCAGTACATGTAGTTGCACAAATTACAAATCCTAGCACGAGTAGATGCAACGTGTGTATGTTCATGGTGTGCTAACTATCACTATTAGAATGGAACAGGAAAAGGGAAGATAATCGACTGAATATTAATTGGAAAGGAGGAAAGTGAAAAGAACTAAAAACATCGCACTGCCTTCTTTGTACACCGTCCAGAACGTTGACGATTCTCCGTAAGTAAATATAATTGCACAATTACAAAGCCTCGATTTCAACCAAACTTCAAACCAATCCAAAGCCCCAATTCCACTACGAAGTAATAAAATCGAGTAATTCAGAACCACGATGGAATTTGAAAGGAGAGTAAACCCTAGAATAGTGTAAATTTAAAATTGTCACCAAATCGGGTGCAAATTACATCAATTTGGACAGGAAAAGGTGGGGTTGGGAGCAGGCATATTCTTCGAGATTTCAGAACATAAAAGAGCTATTTGGGAGGTTGATTCTGAGTGTTCGCAAAGTGTTTTTAGAGTTTGATAGATCGAATACGGAATAAAGAGTCAAATGTGTTGAAAAAAGGGATTATGATGTTTCACGGACGTTTGTTCATCTGTTAACAATCATTGTTTCAACCGAACAGTAAAAAGGAAGAGAATTCCAAGACGAAGAACTGGAATGGAGAAAAGCCAAAAAGAACCGGAAAAGATCGCATCGATTTCTTTGTACACCCTAAAGCATATCGAGGATTCTCCATAAGTACATGTAGTTGTACAAGATTATTCAAACAAAATAGAAAAACGGTTCAAAAAATTATAGAAATAGAAAAAGGGAAGACAATTGCATGACGAATAATAGGAATTGAAGATAGTGAAAAAGAACTGGTACACTGTCCAGAACGTTGAAGATTCTTCATAACTACGTGTAACTGCACAAATTGCAAACCCTTGCACGAGTAGATGCAATCTTTACATGTTCATCGTCTGTTAACTATCATTGATTGAAAGGAATAGGACAAGGGAATAGAGAATTGAAAACGAAGAGAGAGAAAAAGAACAGGAAAAAGATTCGCGCGCAACTGAATTTGGAGTAGAAAGACGGTACCCAAACCAAAGACGATACCGGGTCCAAGTTCACCTAATGGATTTAATCCCAGAAGCCCAATTTATAGAGCTTCAATGGGGGTTGGTAACCCTGGGCTGAACCGACCTAACAAATATTGCAGAATTTACCAATTTAAAGGTTAAAAATTTCGAAAATTGCCTTTATATTTAATCAAATTGTACCGTGGTCGGATCGTTTTTTAATCCATATCAAGGGGGTGTTTGGATCGAGGGATAAAGGGAGATAAGACAAGTTGAATTGGGTAAAATAATGTAGGGGCCCACAAATCCCTACTTTTGATCAAAAAATGGAGTCGAATATTCGTTGGCATTGAATACATCGGCCCGTAGTGATCGGAGCCCAATATCCCCGCTGAAGCGGATTTGTGTAACCCATGGAGCATATGGGATTCAAATTTTGTTGATAGGATTGATAGTTATTTTATGAAAATGCCCCTACAAATGATTAGGGTTTTTACCCTTTGTTTGTCAATTCATTTCTTCACCAACCCACTGGTTTCACCTCTTTCTCTCTCTCTGAATACAGTGCACGGTGGCAGCAGATCTAGGTATTCTTCTCTCTCCTCCTCCTCTCTCTCTCTTCGTCGTTCTCTTTACTGGTGCTTCCTCTCTCTTTCTCTAGCTCATAACCGTTGCTTTTTGTTTGCTTTTTGCCAAACCCATCTCTCTCTCTCTCTCTATGAAGAGATGTGCAAAAGTTAGGTGAGGTGGGGAAAGAGATTCTGGTGTTGGGGAAGGGATTATTGTGTGTGTGTTGGGGGGAGGGGGGGTTAGGGGATTTTCATAGAGGGCTTTGGTATGAAGTTGGTGAGCTTCGATCATTACCAGGACTGATTTCGTTTGCTCTCTCTCTCACTTATTCCATTTTTCAATTCTTTAGAGATCCATTAGAAAATCAGTCGGCTACATAGATCAAACAAATTATTATATGTACATGGATTTTTTCCCCATATTTTTATCTTCAGATTTATCGCTTTGTTCAACAATTGCTGCCTTGCAAGAATGACCACATTGCTTGGATCTGGGTTTATTTCAAGGGGTTCCTTCTTCCTGTAATGTTGTTCATCCAAAAATTGTTGCCTCTTTGTTTCTTCGTTGTTATCCTAGAACCTCTTGTTTGGGGTTTGTAGCAACGGGTCAAAACTAGAACATCCAAAATTCTATCTTTCTCTCTTGTTCGGGCTTTGTAGCCATGGATAGGAACCAAAAAATTCAATTTGTTACTCTCACTCTCACTTTGAATCTCCCACTCTCACTGTCACTTTCACCCCAGTAATGGGGCTACTAGTTTGTTAATTTGTTTGTGTATTTCAACAAACATATACTCCGATGTATTCTTCTTTATTGTGGATTGTTTTAGAGTTTTGTGAATTGGGCCCTTTGCATACTTTTGTACATGTATTTTGCATTTGATTGTTAGAAGAATTCTTATTTCTGTTATTGACCAATGTGATATTGTTTAGAGATTTGTTTAGATTAGTAAGTAAAATGAATTTTTTTTTGAACATAAGTAAAATGAATTGAATTGATATGTATTATTGAGATCCCATGTAGTTGTTTGAGCTAGGGGTTAATTAGAGTTATTCCTTTGATTGTCTATTGGCAGCTTTGGAAGAAGAGGTGCAGAGGGAGGTTTGAGGGCGTAAAAATGAATTCTCATGCTATTTTTTTGTTGATTTTCAATTGCTTGAGGCTTCACGTTTTTGTTATAAAGATGTTGGCTGCTATAAGATTGATGTGAATTTCATGCCTTCAGAAAAAGCATAGCTTTGGTGATGAATCTTTAGCCGAGAGTTGCAGCTGTATAAGGATCTAGAAAGGAGAGGTGCTTTTAGATTTTATTCTTTGTTGTATTTGGTTTGTAAGGGTGAGGTGAAGCTGATCCCTCTTACTTGTAATTTTTACCGAATGCAATAAAATCATTCTTTCTAAAAAAAAATATAATATGTTGTGATGAATTGAGTGTTGCACAATACTCATAAAAAAATTAAAAAAAAAACAAAAATTTCGACAAAATAAGTATAATTTATTTTATGGAGTTGATTTTTTTATTATATTACTATTTTCAAGTACCCATTCATCCTTATCAATGTTTGACCCCATACTCACCTAAAGTTGCCCCAGGGTTATATTATATTTTTTTCTAAAGGGTGTAATGGTCATTTCATTAATTTTTATTTAGACATGTGAATGAGGTCTATAAAACAATTGTTCTCTATCCAAAGTAATGATAGGATGGGATAAGAATGAATCAACCCGGACTACTCTTCATTGGGTTGGATTGGATTCGGATTCAAATTCAATCCAACTCAATCCTTCCATGGGTATCCAAACACCCCCATCAAGTACTAATCAACCCTGACATGAACTATTTAAGTAATTAATTAGACATTTTATACTAACTTCAATAATTGTGTCGTGTTTAGTTTGACGCAAGTAACTCATGCCCTATAAATTCAATTATCAACCCCCCATAGACCCATTTAAATCAAAAAATTGTCAAATCTTCTACGATATCAAAATTAAGTGAAAAAAATCCTCTAATGCCACGAGGATCGATACAAAACCCAATCAAGAAATAAAAAAATCAAAATTTTTTTCATACACTACCAGTAAAATAGCTTTGTCATATCAAAATCAAGCTATCTAAATTTGACACTAACTCAACAAGTTCACTATGTGTGTTATCAAGTCGGATTATTTTCGAGCTCATTTTAAAAATTAATCATAATTTATAAAATTGCGTCATGCTGAAAATTGTCATTACTATTTCGAGCACTTGTTAATTTTAACTTGCAAGTTTTAAGTCATGCTGTATCGACAATTCACATTAGATGATAAGGAACACCAATGACCCACTAGCGTTGCTTATATGTTTTGTTATGCTATATTAAGTGATAGGATACTTTTTATTGTGTAATTTTCGATATGTTTGATTCGTAACTATAATTCTCCTATATTACTGTTTTTAATGAAATTTTTGCTTAATCAAAAACTTGAAATTAGAGAAAAAAAAGAAAAAACGATAAAGAAAAGTAGAAACAGCTCTTAAAGAGAGGAATACATTTACCCCTCCAAATTATGAGTATTAAAGGTGGAGAAATGCTATGTTTACTAAAAAAATTTACCAAATCTTCCCTACCGAATAATGTGGCACAATCTTCATCATTGAATATTAATAAAACCTATTTATCTAGTGGTGAAATATTATGTTACATCATTTAGGATAACAATTTGCTAAAAAAATTTGATAAATATAACATTACCCTTAAAGGTGATTAAACTAAGTTAATGCTCCGTTTAGTAGGAAAGATGAAAAGTAAGGGGGATACATTTTCTATCCTTCAAGAAAGGAAAATAGGAATGATACATTTTCTTTTATTTGTGTTTGGTTGGATGGATGAAAAATAAAAATGAATAATTTTTTTTTTTGTTGGCTAAGATTAGGAGTGACAATCAAGTCGTATCGTGTCAGATTCGTGTTGAGTCATTATGAGTTTGTGTTAAATATTAGTCACACTTAATTCAACTCATTTAACTAAATGTGTCGTATCGAGTTACAATTTGACATGTTTATTTTCGTATTGTGTTCGTGTTCGAGTTAATTAAGCTCATGTCATAAAATTCGTGTCAAGTTCGAGTTGTGTCAACGTGTTAGTCAAAAAATTTCATTCCTAATTAAGATGGGAAAAATATTTTTTAATTTTTTAATTTTATTAATTTTTTAATTTTTTTTAAATATGTATATATATATATATATATATATATAAATAAATACATATTTTATCATTATATTTTTATATGAAATTAATGTATACATAATATATATATATATATAAAAAAATATATAGACAAATAAGATACATCTCAACACAAATAATTAACTTTTCATTCAATTTCCTTCTGATTTTGGAGGGATTAATTTTGGTGAGTTGGAAAGAAAGTTAATTCATTAACTTTTTCATCCTT